TCTGTTCTCTAAATTTAATTAAACTTTTGTTGATTCTGAAAATTGAAAAACAATAAGGGACACTGACATCATTGTTATACAAATGTTAGGTCCCAAAATATCAAGGTTGGTGTTTGCTTCCACAGAGAATGAAATATAATCATATGCAATTGAATATTTGCTCCTTAATGGAGAATCTTGCATGTGTCAAGTTCTAGTGTCTTTCTAGCTTCCTTTACCTCATTTGGCTTGTATTCTTACATTCCATGTCATCTTTTGTCTTTCTTTTCTGTTTTGTTTGGTTGGAAAACCTCCCTGTAATTTTTCTTCTGTAGTAAGTGTGGTGGTTGGTAAACTCTTTCTGTCTTGACCTGATACTTGGTTGGTCGATTGGTTGTCTGGATGGAGGAATTTAGGTTAATAATATTTTTCCTTCAATTCTGTTATGATGTGGCATCCCAGGTTACTGACAGAAAGTGCACTCAGCTTGATTCTCACTTTCTTTAGATAACCAGTGGTTTCTCTTTGAAAGCTTTTTAAATTTTCCTCTATCTGTAGAGCTCTGATATTTACTAGGATGTGTCAGGGTATGAAGTTTTTTCATTTATCCTGTCTGGCTGTTGGGTTATCCTTTCTATTTGAACTGTGCCATGTTCAGTTCACAGAAGGCTTCTTCCATTTCTTGATTATTTCTTCCCCATCACAGCCTCTGTTTTTTCCCTTCTGAAGCTCCCGTGAGATAGATACTAGACTCCTGGATCTATACCCTATGTCACTCAATTTTTCTTTCGTATTTCCAGTTTCTTTGTATTTTTATTCAGTGTTCTTTTTTATCTCTCCAACCATCCAGCTTAGGTTTCAGTCTGGTTTATTGGTTAGCACATTCACTGGCCTGTAAAATTTTAATCGTCATTTTTTGTTTCCAAGAACTCTTCTTGTTACCTAATTATTTCTTTTCCATGGCAGCCCCTTTTTGCCTCATGGCTCTAATATTCTTTCATATCTCTGTGAAGATAATAAGTCTCTGTTGCCTGAATTAGCCTTGTTTCCTCTAATGATTTTTTCTGTTTTTTTTGTTTGGGGCTGTATTTGTTATCTATTGCTGCTCAACAATTTACTCTATGATGCTTAAAACAATACATAATTTATTGTCCCTGCACAGTGTCTGTGGTCCGGAATCCAGGCAGGTTTAGCTGGTGCCTCTGCCCAAAGGTCTCTCACATGGCAACAACCAAGGTGTTGGCCAGGGCAGCAGTCTCATCTGAAGGCTCAAAAGGGGAGGGATCTGCTTCCAAGTTCAGTCACATGACTGTTGGTGAGATTCACTTCCTTATCAATTGTTGGATTGAAGTCTCAGTTCCTGATCGGCTGTTGGCCAGGGGTCTCTCAGTTTCTATGTATGTGGACCTCTCCATACATCAGCTCACAATATGGCCCTGGCTTCCCTGAGAGCAAACCAGCAAGACAGCAAGAGAAAGCAAGCAAGATGGATGCCAGAGTCTCCGTGTAAACTGATCTTGGAAGTGCCGTCCCATCACTATTGCCATATTCTGTTTCTTAGAAGTGAATGACTCAGGTCCAGCTCACGCTCATGAGGAGGGGGTTACGTAAGGACATGAAACCAGAGGCAGGAATCACTGGGGGCCATCTTAGATGCTGCCTTTCTTTTTGGGGTTGATTTTCTCAAGTGTCTAGCAATCTTTGTTTCTAAATGAAGGACCGTGTGGATTATTACAGGTAGTTTACCTGGGTTTACTCTGTGACTGAATCCAGGGTCTCTGTCACATGTGTAGACTTCCTTTTCAGGTTTGTGGGCAGACAGCAGGAAGCCTGGCTGGGACTCCCTGCTATAGAATTCCATATCCTTTAGTGTGCATGAGTGGAACCTGTCATTTGCCATCAGTCACTAGTGTATAGCAAATGTGATGGGATTGTCACTCCCTTGATTAGAGTACATTATATGGCAAAGGAAAGAGGACTTTGCAGATGTAATTATGGTCCTAAATCAGTTGATTTTGAGTTAATTAAAAGGGAAGTTTTCCTGGGTGGGGCTGACTTAATAAGGTGAAAGCCTTCAAAGAGGGACTGGGCCCTCCCTGGGGTCAAAGATGCTCTCCTGCTGGCCTTGAAGAAGCAAACGGCATGAGTTCTACAGGTGCAAGAAAATGAATCTTCCCAACAACCTGAATGAACCTGGAAGAGAGTTCTTACCGTTCCAGCCTCCAGATGAGAATGCCCTTGGCTGGCACCTTCATTGCAGCCTTGTGAGCTGAGGATCCAGTTAAACTGAGCCTGGACTCCTGACCCCTGGAAACTATGACATAATAGATATGTGGTGTTTAAACCACTGACTTTGTGGTAATTTGTCACACAGTAGAAGATTAACGCAGAGTATTTCACTCCTAGTCCCTCTCAGGCCTTTCCTTTTTTGGTTCGTCCTCGTGTCTCCAGTGGATGTCTGGAGTAAAGCCAACCTCCGTTCTCTGAGTCCACCTTCCTCTTTAGGAGCTTTCCTTAGGTAGGTGGCCCCATTCTACAGAGAGCATGTCTTGGGCTATAACCTGAGGGCATGTCACAGCTGCCACTTAGGCTGTTTATTTCTTTATTTTGGGAGGTGGGAAGAGGGAGCCTACCTTCCAGATGCTCTGAAGGTACTTGTTTAGTGAAAGGCCCTAACGATTGTCCCCTTGCCTGCTCGCATTCTTTGCATTTGTTGATTCTGGGCCTGGAGCTTCTCTGGCCACTTTTGGTGGGAGCCATGCTTCGGTGGTGTCTGCGTGTGTGGTTTCTTCTACTTTAATTTTCCCACCACTCTGAGTCTACATAGTTTTTCTCTTCATAGAATTTCATAAAGCTTCTGGTCTGTTGATGGCATATTTTTCTGTTTTATAATGCTATTATGGTTTCATTCTTTAAACAGAAAACAATTTTCCTAGCAATTCAGTGGGGCCTTGTAAGTGATGGGAGTCAGATGTCGATGATGAGTCTGCATGAACTCAGCCACACATCCTGGACTGGACTTTTTCTTTTTATAAGAGAAAATAAAATACTGTTTTCCTATCTGATGCTGATCTAATATATTTATAATAAATTTGGCATGTTTCTAAAATTGCTGAGAAAGGGCAGAATTTTTATGATAATTACTTTTCTCATGCTCTATGATCACGTCCTCCCTTTAAAGTTCCCAAAAGTATATTTCTATGAAGATTCTGCCCTTTTTTTCTTCTTTTCTCTTCCTCCCACAGGCTTACACAGCCTTTCTTGCTATTCGCTTAGGGTAATTTCTTAGAACAAGTGACTTCAAAATATTGCTGACACTGTTTTTTTCTAACGCTAATGGCACACATGATGTAAGTGCTGAGAATGTTGAGATAATTGAACTGAAATTGTGATTTTAGAATTGTCTTAAGACTCTTTTAGTTCCAAGTAACACAAACCTATTTCAAACTATTCAAGCCTATTTAAAACTTCAAAGTTTAGGTTAAAAACAGAATTTATTAGATGGAACAACAATATCTCATTGAACCCAAGGGTAAAATTTATATTCAAATGTCATGAGTGTCTGGAACCAGAAGCTAGAAAGCCGACGGTAGCCCAGGTAGTCATTATTTTACTGTTGCAGGCTTTCTGTCTCTCCTGTCTCTTATTTTGCTGAAAAGATGATTATTGTCTTCTTTCTCAGCAGACTCACTTTGTTTTGGCATGGATGTGGCCAAATATGGCTTCCCAACAATGGCAACCTGAGTTTCCAATTTCATATCATCTCAGTGCAAGCAAATAGGTCAGAAGCACAATCCCAAATTCTAAGGAGAAGGAATCTAATTGGTTTAGCTTGGGCCGGTTAGATCTTTTTAGACCAGTTTAATGTGGTCATGAGGGCAGGTTTTATGGTATAGATATGGTTGCCATGGCCCGAGTTCCTGAAGAAGAGGTAAGTGGGAGGAAGATTGGGCAGATATCTCAAAACGCATCTGCTGCAACATTCTTGTTTATGTCCAGTGTGCTATTTCTCATTGAGAGACAGTTTAGCTAAGGGTTAAGAAGATGGGCTAGGGGGCAGACAGACGTTGATTTGAATCCCAACCCTGCTGCCCGCCAGCTGTGTGACCTCTGTGAGGATCAAAATCTTTCTCTTACATTTGGGATGGATAAAGCCTCTCTCCTGGGGTTGCTGGGAGGACAAGATGAGAATATATATGGTACATCCTACACACTCAATAAATAGTAACTTTTATTAATTATTGCTGTTATCATATCATTTGGGAAAGATTATGTGAAAGAAGGAACATACATTTTAACATCCTGATAGCGCAAGAAGATCTGAGCCAAATTCCAGATGCCGCAGAACTGCATAATCAATAAAAATCTAAGAGAGAGTTTTGTCTTTACCACACTTGGCCAAAGAAGTGGACACAGGTTAGCTTGCTGGAGTTAGGGCCTAAAGAATCTACAGTGAAAATTTTGCTTGTATTGGTTTTGTAAAGAGAGTTGTCAGTAGTCTCACAATCCTGCAGAGAACCAGGCAGCGCTGGTGGTCACTGGTACGTCATCAGAGTTCTTTCCAGTCAGTGCCTGTTCTCATGGTCACTGCATTCATTCTGCTTGGTGGCAGGTCTGTTTTGGTTGGCTGGTGCCTTACCCAATGAAATATTTTGAATATCATCCCTGGAAATGCAGTATGTGCTACCAATTCATACTTTAGTTTCTTTGTTAAAGGAGATGCACTGTTTTCTTTATAAAGCAATAGATTTCCTTTGCCCTTTTCTCACTTATATGATAAAATTGTGGGTGGCAGCCGTCATTAAACGAAGTCTTAGTAAAGGATATGTAAAGGGATAATGATTCAAATTCTGTAAAGTTAAAGGATGCCAAATGTCAGCCAAAAGTTAATGTTTGTATGAAATAGAGTTAGCCAAATGAGCTATGTTCCTGGCTTCTTTTTTAAATGTAGCATATGCTGTTCTATATGGAACTGTAGTAGAACAATATATCAATGACTAACTGTGTAATTTTCTCTTAAGTTATGCAGACATATTGATTGAGAGGGAAGTGTTAATGCAGAAGTACATTCATCTAGTTCAGATCGTAGAGACAGAAAAAGTTGCAGCTAACCAACTCCGGCACCAACTTGAAGATCAAGATACAGAAATCGAAAGGCTTAAATCAGAGGTATTTCCCAGTTGATAGATTCCTTCTCATTGTTTCACATTTACTGTCATCTCATGATTACCCAAGCCTATCAGGGCAAAATTTTAATCTCAAACTTAGTTCCTCTGCCATCAACATGTACATGGCTGGGCTACTGATCTCCATTAGAAATGAATCTAATGTCTATGTTAGGATTAGGTAAATGTGCTACAACAAAATGCTAGGATAATATGCTATTTTTTAAATATTTGTGCCCCTGATGTCCTTCATTTGATCAAATTTTCAGGAGATGACTATAATATTTAACTGTTTTCAGATTGACTCTTGTAATAATGATAATTGTGAGTTTGTCATAGATGCAATTAAATTTCAAAATGACAGCTAAGGAAGAACTAAACATGAATTCAGAAAAACTTTACTTTTTCTAGACCTAAGGAGTCCAACCTTTTCCACTCTAGAATTTTGAAAAACATGTTTGGGTTGAAGTATAAGATATTTGCTAGGATGCATTTTTTCATGAAGTTGGGATTCCTGCCTTCCTCCACTTCTCCCCCACCCATTGAATGTGAGCTTCTCAGGCCTGCCTCTCCAGACAAGTGAGATTGATGCCAAGGGAGAGGAGAAGGTGGCCATGGAGTGCGCGGCCGTGGTGGTGGGCCTGAGTTCTCTCCGTCTCCAAAGTGCCTGTGTTTATACACAGAAACCTGAGTGAACCGTTCCTTGCTGTCCTGTCATTCCTCATAGGAGGTAGTCAAGAACTGAGGAATTGAAGAGGAACGTAGAAAGCAAGATTTTCCCCCTCTCTCTCACTAGAGATGCCTTAGCATCTTAGCTTCAAAGAGAAGAATAGCACAGAATGAAACCTGCTACTAATTGTATCCTTGTTGACAGAGCAATTCAGTCTCCTCAGCCTTGGTAACTTCCTTGTCACTTTGAGTGTTACTGGACAACAGTTTCCTCTTCATTTCCTCACACCTTCCTCTAAGACATATTCTGTGAATCCTGTGAGGGGTTTTACCTCCTGCAGCCTCTGTGCATCACCTCCAGAGGACAGAGCCTGGGTACAAGCCCAAATGGGGTCTGATTGCTTCTGTGGTGATGATAAGTTGCAGACCGTGTTCACCATATCATTAGAGTTGTTAACTTCCCAATTCAAGCCTGAAATTTGATATAGTGAAAACAACAACAGAAAACTTAACAAACCTGCATTTTAAAAGACTATATCAGGCACTGTAATTTAAAACAAAATTATTGTGTTCTTTCTTTGCCACAGTAAGCTAGAGCAGATGCTTGTCTGCTAAGTGAAAGAGGTTGGCATTTACTCCATGAGAAAAACTCAGCACCAAGCGACATTCCCCAGTGTTTCTTTATGTGTGCTTCTCTGTCTTCACTATGTTCTATTTTAGGCTGAATATAGATTGCAGCTAAAAACTGTCAGTAGCAGGTATGTCTTGTGTGGCCGCTTGACAGGAGCCATAATTTATTTCCCATTCCTTTTATGTCCCTGTTCCCTGCCAGAGAATGGCAGAGCAGTGGATTTCGTGTTGGGGACAAAATGTAGAGACAGGTCATAGGGGGCGATTATGATCTCTTAACTTCTCGAGTGTCTGCTTCTTGGTAAATCTGTGTAGGTTCTTACTTTGGTGAGAGCCTGCCGTTGAGCGGCAGTCTAGAGAATTTTTTTACTAAGTGTGGTTGAGAGTCTGCCTGGTCTTGAGTTGCCCTTCACAGGTCACAGAACTGAGCTGGAGACATAAAGAGGTTCCAGGCTGTTTCAATCCTTGTTACCTTTTCCCTTTTCTTGGCTGGCTTGGACCAGCCCCAGGGCTCTGAGGTTCCCTTTGCAGTTACCATTTTCCCAAGGAGACCTGTGAGTCAGCTGTACTGTGCATACTTGGAAGCCCACAGGTGGATTATGGGAAGCAAGAGCTTTGAGCTGAGTGTCGCTGTATTTGGAGACCACAGGACGTTACAGGCAGCTGACTTTGGGCAATATGGTTGGCATGTCACTGAGCTCCTGAGAAGGCCTTGGCCTGGTCATCACTGGCTGTCAGGGCTGAATTTTCGGCTAACATTTCTCCTAACCCAGATTGCAGTTCACACTTTCCACGGTCACTTCTTATAAGCACTTTGTTAGTAACATAACAAAGTAGGCTTGGGGTGAAGTTCATGCTTCCTCTACCTCAGCACCCAGGGAAGAGGGGGTACATGAAAGGTGAATGTTCCTGAGCATCTCATAAGCTACCTTATAAGCATAACTTCGTATGGGTTGTGGCCATAATCCAGTATTTCCCAAATCATGAAATGGACCAATTTTGTGTTATAGATTATCGCTCTTAATAAAACCAAGGAACGGATGAGACCTTACCAAAGCAATCAAGAAGATGAGGATCCAGACATCAAGAAGATTAAAAAGGTAGGACACCGGGGGTTTCTGGCTCTGAGGGAGCGTGGGGACCAGTTGTTTGTTCTGTAGTGATGTCTTTGCTAACCTGTCCCTGAGCTGAAAAGAAGCTTGGTGTTTCTGTTCTAATGGCCCCAGACTCACCCTTCAGAGTGACCAGACGTGGCTACTTCTCTGGAAAAGTTTCAGCCTGAGATTTCTTTCCAGTTCTGGGGATCTCCTTTTGGACTGTGTGGGAAGGATGCCAGAACCGGTCATTAAGACAATAGTGTTCTCCGGTTGGGTTAGCTAAGTGCTGTTGAACCTCCTAATTTTGTTCTGCTTGCATATTTTGGGGGAGTATCTTTTTAATTACATTTCAAAAATGTTTCTTTTAGCTTTTATCTTGAGTGCTTATTTGGAAAAGATTTTTTTGAACTTGTGAGAAGATTGAGTAAATCAATCCATCTGCTCAGATTTTTGGTTTATTATTGTTTTTTCTGTCTTGTTTAACATCTACATAATCAGCAGATCCTTCCATCTTATTGTCATTTATAATTATACAATTTTTGCAATTAACCAGACACTGGCATCACTCCAGTCTACCGTGTTTGAGTTGTGTCCTCTAGGTTTTAATTCCGTAATCTCGTCCTGTGTAAAGCACTCAGTTTTATTAACATTATGTGTAAAGCTTCACAGTTAAAGAACATTTCTTGGCTATACATCTTCAAGTCTTTCTTTTTAATTTTTTCTTATTCCTGTTCTTCTATGCTAAATAATTATTCCTCTTTAGTTGTAACAAAACTTTAACTAAATATTCCTCAGAATTTGAATAGAAATTATTCTTAGGACTAAGTTGCAATGTTCTCAGTTTTCAAGAAAAAAAAAGGAAAATAACACCATTCCCTTCTTAAGAATTTAAAATTTTTTAAATGGAATTTCATTTATGTTAATGTGTTACAAGATTAATGCTATTGCCTTTTTTTTAATAGTATGCAGTTGCATAAAAACAAAGATATTAGTAAAATACAGTTGTCAGTCCTGTTGTAGAAACTGGTCTATTAGTAAATAAGTGAACCAGCTATTTCTTAGCAGGTAATCCTTGCCCAAGTAAGTGGAAAGGTTTTATTTAACATAAAATTCAATTAAGTTGATTTTTGAAAATATGTCTGTTAAATGGAAGACTAATGATAAACGAAATACTTTTTTACATTTTATACCTTCTTCTTCTTTTCTTTTGCTGAGGAAGATTCACCCTAAGCTAACATCTTTTGCCAATCTTCCTCTTGTTGTATGTGAGCTGCCGTCACAGCATGGCCACTGACAGACAAGTGGTGTAGGTCTGCCCCTGGGAACCAACCTGGGCCACCAAAGCAGAGCATGCCAAATGTAACCACTAGGCCACCAGGGCAGGCCCATCTACCTTCTTATTTTCTAGTAGAAGTAAATTTTTTTTAATCTATTTTTGAACTTATTAAATAGGTTTTGAAATTAACTCTATTGTCCTTTCTATCACCAAATCAAACTAATGTCTGTGTGGAAAGGGGTGTTTACAAACAAATTAGTTTCTCTATTCTGAGCTTAGCAAACATCCACATAATTTTTTAACTTTTAAGAGGTCAAAAATTGAAATTGGTTATAATTCATAGGAATTTCTCATTAGATTTCTCCAAATAATGTGCATATAATAGCTCCACATAATTCTACTAAAATGAGGTTAATTTTTATTGTTTGATGTATGGCAGCTATATGAATGCCTGTATGAAAATTGGTAGTATGCTGACAGCATCAGTAGATAGTGAGAGAATTTTAAACAGTGCAAAAGAAGAGTAGTTGTTTAAATGCATGATAATTTTGACCATATGGGTGAAATAGTATAGAAAAAAATAAAAAGTGTAAGAGTGTGTTAAATAGACAACGATACTAAAAAAGGATTTGACAGTGATTTAATGCTTTTAGTTGTATATGAATTTGCAACCTGCTTCATTGCTGAATCTGCCACTTAGATATAAGAAATACTAATAAATTATCATATAATTTTGTGTGTGTGTGAGGAATATTGGCCCTGAGCTAACATCTGTTGCCAATCTTCCTTTTTTTTTTTTTGCTTGAGGAAGATTGTCACTGAGCCAACATCTGTGCCAATCTTCCTCTTTCTTATGTGGGATGCCACCACAGCATGGCTTGACTAGTGTGCTAGGTCTACACCCAGGATCCCAAACTTTGAACCCCAGGCCACCAAAGTGGAGTGGTGTGCGAACCTATTCACTATGCCGCTGGGCCAGCCCCTAATTTTTCTTATATTTAGAAAGGACTTCAGATTTTTTTTTTTGTCAATTATTTTATAGATGAGGAAATGCAGGACCAGAATTCAAGGTCACCCATCAAGTTAGTGGCAGAGCCTTTGGGTTAAGGATTATGACATATACCTGTCTGATGAGCACCTAGCTTGTACCTGGGCCTTTAAAAGATATTTGGTAAATATCTGTTGGCTAAAACACCTAGGCCAGTGCACTTTGTCAGGTTTGCCTGTTATTTTTCAAATCATACCTAGGGAATTCAGATCAATTTGAGAGGCTATCTTTTTTCTACAAAATTGATTTTTAACATATTTCATGTTTCTTTTCACTAAATAATCACCGTGGCAAACTGTTGATGTGTGTTTTGCCTATGTGGCTAGGAAAGAGAATCCTTACAGTTGGCAAAAGACAGGTGAAAGAGCACCAGGTCTGGTTGCAGTTTCTTTCCTAGCTGTGTGGCTTACTGTGAAATTTAGTTTACTCATCTGTAAAAGGAAAAGGTTAGATGAGCAAATTTCTAGTACTTATTTTTTTTATTTTTTATTTTTTTTAAAGATTTTATTTTTTCCTTTTTCTCCCCAAAGCCCCCCGGTACATAGTTGTATCTTCTTCGTTGTGGGTCCTTCTAGTTGTGGCATGTGGGACGCTGCCTCAGCGTGGCCCGATGAGCAGTGCCATGTCCGCGCCCAGGATTCGAACCAACGAAACACTGGGCCACCTGCAGCGGAGCGCGTGAACTCAACCACTCGGCCACGGGGCCAGCCCCTCTAGTACTTATTTTTTAAGCTTAAAAAAACCCTCATCAACAACAAAAAATCAAATCACTTGATTAAAAATGGGCAAAGGACTTGAATAGATATTTCTCCATATAATGGGGAAACGGCCATTTGTATATCATCTTTGAAGAAATCATATACACATGAAAAGATGCTCAACATCACTAAGCATCAGAGAAATACAGATCAAAACCACACTGCAATATCATCTCACACCCATTAGGATGGCTGCTGTCGGAGAATAATGTGTTGGTGAGGATGTAGAGAAATTGGAAGCATTGTGCGTCATTGGTGGGACTGTAAAATAGCGCAGCTGCTATGGAAAACAGTATGGAGGTCCTTCAAAAAATTAGAAATAGAGCTACCATATGACCCAACAGTCCTACGTCTGGGGACATATCCAAAAGAATTGAAAGCTGGATCTTGATGAGATATTTGCACTCCCATGTTCATTACAGCATTATTCACAATAGCCAGAGGTGGAAGCAACCCAAATGTGCATTGACAGATGAATGAATAAACAAAATGTGGTATATATACTCAGTGGAATATTATTCAGCCTTAAAAAGGAGGAAAATCCTGGCACATGCTACAACATGGATGAACCTTGAGGACATTATGCTAAGTGAAATCAGATAGTCACAAAAAAGACAAATACTGTATGATTCTCCCGATATGAGGTATCTAAAGTAGTCAAATTCACAGAACAGAAAGTAGAATGGTGTTTACCAGGGGCCGAGGGAAGGGGGAGAGGGAGCGTTGTTGTTTGATGGGTATAGAGTTTCAGTTTTCTAGATGAAAAGGTCTGGAGATCTGTTATACAGCAGTGTGAATATACTCAACACTACTGAACAAGGTGGTAAATTTTATGGTATGTCTTTTTTTTAACCACAGTTAAATTTTTTTTATAGTGTTAAAGAATAAACCTTCAATTTCTTTCTTTTTTCAAATGTTAATAAGTAAATATGTAATGTTATTATATTCTGGTATCCATATAGGCAGGCCTAAAGAGCTTAAGCTTATGGAAGAAATTAGTGAACTTGAGAAAAAATATTATATTTGAAATCATCTTTTGTCTGCTATCTGGAAGAAGCTTGCCATTATTTATCCTAGTAGTGGGACCATTAGTGCACCAAGGAAAGAGTAGTGTATTATATGGCACAGGATGGACGCCCTTATTGATAGGCTCAAGAAAGCCAGTCTCACACCTCCCTGAGATTCTTTTTCAGTTTTTGCTGTTGTGTTTGTTGTTGATAGGTTCAGAGCTTCATGCGAGGATGGTTGTGTAGAAGGAAGTGGAAGACCATCGTGCAGGATTACATTTGTTCTCCTCATGCTGAAAGTATGAGGAAGAGAAACCAGATTGTATTCACCATGGTTGAGGCCGAGTCAGAGTACGTCCACCAGCTGTACATCCTGGTAAATGGCTTCCTCCGGCCCCTGCGGATGGCGGCCAGCTCCAAGAAGCCCCCCATCAGCCACGACGACGTCAGCAGTATTTTTCTCAACAGGTCTGTTTCGGCATAAATCAAAGAGCCATGTGAAAAATCCATTTGAATTTCTTAAAAGAATTTTTGCTTTATTCTTAAAAGAATCGGTATCATAAATTCATCTTTATGAGTTTATGATATTGAAAGCTATCATTTGTATTTCATTAGTCCAAATTTGCATATCTTTATCTTGAGTCTTAGAATCTAGTTTTCTGGTTTTCTTCTCTATTTGACATATATTTTCTTGTCATTGTGTGTGTTGGGGAAGGTAATCTCCCTCAAAAACTGAGGAAAATGTACTGATTAAGGGGTCTTTTCATGTAATTTATACAGAAGTACATTAGGTAGAGCAAAACCTAACAGAGGGCCTGAGAATCTCTAGTAAACTTATTTGCTCGATGGATATTTATGGTGTCCTTAATGCTGAGGATTCATCAGTGAACAAAGCAGAAAATCCCTGCCTTCATGGAACTTAAATTTTGATGTGAGAAGACAGATAATAAACAGTGAGTGAGTCAAACAGGTAGTATGTTATATGGTGATGAGTGCTGTGGAAAAAATAAAGGAAGGTGAGAAGAGGGGGAAAGGGAGTGCTTGGGTGTTTCACTTAAGAGGTTAGTTATTTATAGTCTTTGAGTAGATAATACATTTACATCATTGAAAAGTCAAAATAACATGAAAACATCAAATGACAGAAGTCTCACTCTGCTGTCTCTGCCCACCCCATTTTCCCACTTTGTATACGTAACCATTTTCAATAGTTTCTTATATATCCTTCCAGTGTTTCTTGATGTAGATCCAATCAAATATGAATTCTGAGTCTTATTTCTCCCCTTGTTACATAAAAGGCAATGTACTTTAACGTATACTTGCTTTTTCCACTTAATATATCCTGGACATCTTTCCTTATTAATATCTAAAGAGCATTCTGTTTTTTAATGAATTGCTCCATGGTGGGAGGGAGATTTCCCCACATAAGTTGGCAAGGACACCACTCCAGTGTGTGAGACATCCTAAGGGACATGTGGGGTACTCTTGATCCTCAGTCTACACAGCTAGCATTTTGGTGATATTTCCATGGAGTGGAGGGAATTCACTGCTTACAGGGTCCTTTGGAAGGGCTGGAGGAATAAAGTCAGGGAGCTTCTCCTTGACCATTGAATTCAAGGGCACAGCACCATGGATGTGATCCAGAGGTTAGAAAACTACTGCCACCACCGTTGCCACGTCTGCCTCTCAGATCCATGAAGCTGGTACCAAGAAACTAGAATGCCGAGGCTGGGGACTGAAACTGCCCCTAGAACACTCGCGTCTCCACCACTGACTGTCAGCAGCAGGAAGATGGTCTCTGTTTCCGCCTCCTGTGTCTTACCAAGCACATCTTGTGGTGGAACTGAGTTTGCATCTGGAGCCCTATCTGCAAGGGAGTCTGGGAAATGCAGTTTTAGCTCTCCAGCCTCTCTACCTAGAAGGAGGGTGAAATGGAGATTGAAAGAGTAATGTATGATATCTATCAAACTAGATTTGGTTAAAATCCTTGAACAATTTTAACTGCTTAGTTAAAATCCTATAAAAGAAAAACAAATTACCGTCTCCAACCAGTGTCTCTTTTGTTTCATGGACCATTTGGAAATAGTAGGGACTTCTCCTTGATGTTTCTTGTAATGAAATTTGAGTTATGACAAACCAAAGTATTTCACTGACATAAATAATTCTGTATTTGGTTGTGTCAATGTGTAAGTTCAGAAAAGCCTTCAAAGGCTCATTTTAGTAGGTTAATTCTAGTTAGAGAAAGCAAAAGATATTTTGGCATTAGTAACTGCACTTCTTGACCCTTTTAGGAGTTTGGATCCCTAAATTATGCGTAGTTCTCATTTTGGTATCTCTGTGTGGGCTCCATCCTTTTCAGAAGATTCTTTTACATTTCTGTCTTGGGTGTCTTAGGAGCAGTTACAGTAGTTCTGTCAAATCTTTGCTATGAATTTTTTCCCTCTCTCTCCTTCTGTCAAAACTCATTTTAGTGAAAGAGAGACCTCTCCCTGAGTTATCATCTTGAATCAAATTTGAAGAGAAAAGGAATCATAACTATTTTATTATTATCACTTGAAGTGCTATATTCTAACCATAGAAAGCTATTTTTATTATAAATTAGTAAAGACGGTTATATGACAATGATTTGGTCCTTACTGTCTTCCAATATTTGAAGCTTAGCTCAGAATTTTCTTTGAGTTTTTGAGGTGGTCTGAAAGATACATTGCTTTATGGGGGCTAATATAATTCATGTCGTTATTGGGTGTATACTTTGGAGGCCCTAGGAGACATGTATATCATGTATTTATTAAGACTTTAAGGACTCAGTGTACTTCTTTAACAAAATAGACACTTTATAGTGGCTAAATTATATGATTCTTCCATTTTTTATAGTGAAACAATCATGTTTCTTCATGAAATATTTCATCAAGGACTGAAAGCAAGGATAGCAAACTGGCCTACTTTAATTTTAGGTAAGTGCCTGCTTCAGAGATATAGGATTTTCTCTTAATATGGCTACAATTAGAGTAAAATAACATCACAGCTTTGGCTGACCAAAGCTGTCTGAATTTCCCTTCCTTTTGACCTGTGAACTCTCTTAGCCACTGAAAATCTGTCTCTTTGCCCTTTGGGCCCTGCCTCAGGACTTGCCTTTCCCGTGGCCTGTCCTGGTTCATTTGGGGCTGGAGTCAGGCTCCGCCCCAGGGTGCATTCTATGAGATCAGTCATTTAGGTGTCCGGACTGAGGCCCCGTGCATGCATGACACCTGGTCCTGGGAGCCACCCTCTGCCATTCCTGTTGAGTGAACAGTCTTTCCCCAGGCCTTAGGTACTTTACCGAGTACCAAGAGAAACTGTCATGTTTACTTCCTCTTTCCAGCTGATCTGTTTGATATTTTGCTCCCCATGCTGAACATTTATCAAGAATTTGTGCGCAATCACCAGTACAGCCTCCAAGTGCTTGCCAATTGTAAGCAAAATAGAGATTTTGACAAACTCTTAAAACAGTATGAAGCCAACCCTGCCTGTGAGGGGAGGATGCTGGAAACGTTCTTGACCTATCCAATGTTTCAGGTGAGTCATCTGGGCTGCATTTTCTAAGTCATTGATTCCAACTTGGTGTTACTGATACCCAGTGTGGCCAGAGTGAGATGTGCAAGTATCCCCTGTGAGGAATTATGGCACATATGTATCGTCTTGTCACCTTGAGCTTGACCCTGAGATAAATAAACTTAGGTCACATGTTCTCTGTCTAGTAGGCATGCGTCATTAGGTGATTTCATCATTGTGCGAACATCATAGAGTGTACTTACACAAACCTAGATGGTGTAGCCTAATACACACCTAGGCTGTATGGTACTAATCTTATGGGACCCTTGTCATATATGTGGTCCATTGTTGACTGAAACGTATTTATGCAGTGCATCACTGTATATCTAAGAAAACTAGGTATTTTTTAGACAGTTAAATTAAGAACGATTTTTTTTGAAAAGCAGCACAATTTTCTCTTTACAGAGAGATTCCACACAGACTTCTTCCATGGAGTCTCCTCCTCCAGCATGTTTAAAAATATTATTAGGTTTACAGAAATAGGATGTTGTGCAAATGTTCCAGTGTGTGCTGGTTGCATAAAAGGTTCCTGGGGAGAGGAGTGACTGCTGGGAAGGGCTTTGTTTCCCTTCCCGCCCTCCTGCCCTGCTGTGATTGCTGCTCAGTCTCCCTTGGCTGGAGCTCTGGAGCAAAAGGAGGACCTTCTGGTCACAGTGGCTGTGGGGACTTAGGAGCCAGAGGCACTGGCTGCACCTGGGGACTCTTGGCCCCTGGTCAGGTTGCTGCAGTGAGGCTGGGGCTTGTTCTGATAATCACTTTGGGATTAGAGCAACCCAGTGGGTCAAGTACCCTTGTGTTCTTTCTCTCATCTCTTTTTGTTTTACATGGGTCTTTACTGATTTTATGAAACAGAGCACATATGACGAACACGTCGTAACCCTGAAATCATGCTGCAGAGATGCATCAGAATTCTATCACTGTGGAAACGTATTTTATACATGTGACATACATAGTGCACTCCGTGCACCACAGAGTGGCGAACACATCTTTAATGAAATAATACTCTACTTGTTCACATATACAGCTAGCATTCTAATAAACATCTTCTACACCTGGGCATTTACAGAGTGCATTCCATCAGCCCCTTGGAGCGAACAAATTCTTTCACAGAAAGAAAGCAATCTGATTACAGCAAAATGCTATAACTCAGAATAGTTTTTAAAAATTTTTATTTATTTATTTTTTATTGAGGTAATGTTGGTTTATAACATTATATAAATTTCAGGTAGACATCGTTATATTTCAACTTCTGTGTGAACTGGATCACATCCACCACCACTTAGGTTCTTTCTACATTTGGGGCTTTACCGTTAAGAGCTCTTGAGTGAGAACTACAGAGGCCAAAATGTGAATTGAGTGTCCTGCTCCTTTGAAAAGTGTTGATTCTGTTCTTGTGGGAAGGCATTGAATGTTCTCGTGGTGGAGTTTACGGAGCTTCTGGCCAGGCCCCCAGATTGTCCTGTGGGGAGCCTATTCTCCTAGTCATGAGTGTTAGGGTTTCTGTGGAGAGTTTCTGAACAGGCGTCTCTGAGCCCGGCTGATCATTTTCTAGCCTCAGAGAGAAATGTTGCTGTGGTTTGTAACTGTTTGTCTTAAAGTTTGTCAATCCTGCTTGAAATCGTGGGAGTCACCATAGAAGTTTAGTAAGATTTTTAAAAACCAGAAGGATATATTTGAAACAACTTAAGTATAGTGAAACTTTATAATGTTATTGTGTTTTTTTCATGGAACTAAATTGTTTGAACTCTTTGCCTCTCTGAGGAAATATTTCACAAGAAAAACTTGAAAGAAAAAAAAATAATTTGCTTTTATTTTTTAACCGTATGCAGAATTGTAATTTTTTATTTACAGTGAAACAAATTTGAATCTTTGGCAGTTACCTCTATGTTTTGATTAAATACCCTAAATTGTTTCTGTTCAGCAGCCCCAACTCAGGTGAAAATTTAAAGGTAGAATTGTGAAAGACTCATGGAGCGATCAGAGAGGTAGCTTGCTCCCTTTCTAACAGCCCATTAATGTCTTCTTCATGTCTGTTCACTTCTCCTTGCTCTGATTCTCTCAGTGTTTTAAAGTGGCAGAACACACTTGCACTTTAGCTGAGGTGTCCAAACTGTAGAGTATAGGGCTTTGCAAAGGCCTTCGGACTTCCTACAAATGCTGAGATGCTCTCTCCCTCCCCTCCGCTCCCTCCCCCGAGTTTAAGTCCGATAACAATGACATGGCATTTTGATTAACCCCAAGGAGTTAGAATAGAATAACGTCAGAAAAGACTGTTGGACCTGGAATCTTTAGGAGACCTGGATGTCTTGCTCACCCCTCAGTCATACCATTGGGGGAGATAACTGAACCAGTCTAAATCTCTGTTTCTTACTCTCGAAACTGAGGCAGCTGAGCTCTAGTTATCCCCCAGAGCTCTAGCTCTCTCTGCTCCCAGGGGACAGACAGGTTCTGAAAGTTTGGGGTGGTTAACTGCATGGTGGTGCAAGCAGCCTGGTGTTAGCCTAGGACCATCCCTGCCCCCAAGACTGTGCTGGCCCCAAGCCCTAGAATTTAGCTGAAGGGTCAGATGTTGAGATTCTTTGGCTTCTTCCAGACCAGGGTAGCCAAAGGCCTCAGCTTACGAGAGACATTGCTCTGGGAAAAGCCTCAAACTTAAACAATTTAGCTATAATTGGTTCAACTATAAGAAATGTGCAAATTGAAAGAGCACTGAGTTGTGCTCTTTCTTCTTTGCTTTCCCATAACGATTTTGAACAAACCAAGGGGGAAAATCATCAGTTTGCTGCCCAAGGGCCACATTGTCCTTGGTGTCTCTCCTCTGCCTTGTTCACTTGGTGTCTCTCCCTCCTGCCTTTTCCCTAGGGGTGACCCTATGGAACAATTCGGGGAAATCATCCATTAGAGAAGCTTGAAGGTTTTTTCTTACTAGATTCATTCTATCCTTCTTTTTCCCTTTTGGTCCTTTCACAAATGAGGTGAAATAGTCCTGAAGGTGTTTTCTCCCTCAGGTGGTCCAGCTCTATCTTCTTCCCTGCATACATGGCGTGAGCAGTGGTACTTCGGTACTTCTGCCTTGTTCCGGTGTAGGCTGGACACCACAGGATGAGACTGGGGCACTGTACTTTTCTGCTGTAGGACAACAATGGAAGAGGTGACCCAAGTTCATCCCATCAAGGGGCCTCTGCACAGACTTTTTCTTGAGCCAAGATATGGGGACAGAGGTTGGTGTGAGGCAGAGGGAGGAGGAGAGGTGATTGGCAACTTTTAGCCTGTGTCTGTGCAGAGGAGAAAAGCATTATATTCTACCTCTTTCTGGGCCCTTTGTTGAGTAAGTCGATTACTGCTCTTAATGGACTGTTTTGGGCTATGGAAACATGGAGGATTTGTAGAATTTGAATGATGTAGTAAATTTGTCCCCCGTTGAACTATCAGACAAGTAAGTCCAAGTGTTGCCAAGAAATTTGTTATGGAAAATACTGTAGTCATTAACATAATTTTTATTTAGCAAAGACAGTGGCTTGGCTAGTATTGTTTAAATCGGCTTCAGCTGCTCTTAAGTCCATAGGCAAGCCAATGATGAAATCTGCTTCTGACAAGAACAGCGCTGTTAGATGTTCTCCAGAAAGTAGCCACTTGCTGCCCTAGCGACTTATTTACTGCTCGCTAATTAATGACTATCAAGTGACAAGTATTGTTCCATAATTGAAAGCAGAATTATGAGTCATCTAGACAGTACTTACTATGATTCTTGTTTTTTTGAGGAAGAGATTTATAATCAGCTCCTAAATATACAGATGAGCTCTTTGGAGAATGATCCACTTCTCTGCAGAACGTCCTTTGCCTGCTTTTTGGCAGTTTCAGGCTTGTTTGTTCCTCCACCAGAAAGTAGGAAGGGCCAGTTACTGAATTTCAAATCCATCCACTTGAATTGAGCCAAGGAGCTCGCTAAAGTAGATTTCCTTAATGGGGGAGGATCATGAAGCTATTGACTAAACTTAGTTTTGTGGAGTTTCAGTGCATTATACATAGCCAAGCTCTCCCACTCCTGCCCACTTTGTTATGAAAAATTGAGTGCATTTGCTGTTAATCGCCTTGATTGTCTCGTAGAACTGCTAACTTAAGAGGCAAGCTATTACGGATCGGGGGCATTGTGCAAAAGGGATATTTGAAAATGTACTTATCTCAGGAGACTTCTGCGAAGTGGAACAGCCCTCCAGGCTGTTTTAGTGAGAAGTTCATGGGATGGAGAGGCAGAAAGCCTCCTCCACTTGTCCTTCAGAGGGAGGAGTCTCCCGTGCCCCACCCTCCTGTAACTAGGGAGTCTGCACTTCTGAAACCTTGACTTGATGACGTTCCCTTGGACGTGATCCCAGGGGGTGAGCTGCAGATTGATGTCTGTGCTGAGGGCACTGCCCTCTGTACCTATGCATAAATGTGGGCACTCAGTAAATGTTAGTACATAGCCCAGTGAAGGCCACCACCTGCACAAGAGCAAAAACAGATCCATGGATAGAGCTGCCAACACCTCAGGACAGAATGGAAGGAGCTACCCACAGGGCCCTGGGAAGCTATTTTACCTTCTTCATTCTCAGAGGTTCTTTCAAGTGCTGAGACCCTAGTCCCGGCAGAAGAGACCCCATGGGCTCGTGTGCTGGTCAGAGGAGGGCTCATGGCTGGCTCTGCCATTTGCTATGAGGCCACCTTGCGCAATTTACCAAACCTCTTCCCACTTTGTTTTCTTGTCTGTAAAATGGAGAAATAATCTTTATGTTACTGGAGGATTGAATGCACATGCAAACCTCGAGCTCTGATCTGACCCAAAGCGGGCAGCGTTATGGTAGCTGTTGTTCGTGAATGTTATTATTAAAATTAGGGGCCGCCTGGGGGTGCAGCGGTTAAGTTCACATGCTTCCGTGGCCCAGGGTTCGATGGTTCAGATCCCAGGTGTGAACATGGCACCTCTTGGCAAGCCATGCTGTGGTAGGCGTCCCACATATAAAGTAGAGGAAGATGGGCACGGATGTTAGCTCAGGGCCAGTCCTCCTCGGCAAAAAGAGGAGGATTGGCAGCAGTTAGCTCAGGGCTAATCTTCCTCAAAAAAATTAAATAAATAAGTAAAATTAAATTAAATTAAACCCACTGTTCCTGCTTTCTAAAATAGTTTAGTTTATAAAGCAGTGAAAAATAAGTGTGTTGAGTCACTATAACTTGAGTTAAATGTCTACTGTGGTCTATTAAAACCTTCATATGGTTGGTGAAGTTTCCGCTTTTCATGGAATTCAGACAGTCTGTTCATAGAGAAAAGTGTAAGTAAATAATCTAATTAAACAATGCTTTTTACTGCTAGAAGGATGAGTTGAGGTAAAGTAGAATCGGAATGTAATAAGAGTGAATGTATCTTCTCCCGAGTTTTAATTCTTAAAGAGAACATTGCAGCAGCAGAACTGTCAATTTTTAAAATTTTTTTGTAAACAAGCAAATATATCTAAAATACAGACTCAAGTGATTTGATGAGATCTATATCTGTTTCCCTATGAACCAATTTTCAAAATTATGATTAAGAAAGGTATGATTATATTAAAAAATCTAAAAAAGCAATTGTTTCTTTGTAACAGAATACTCGATGACTCTTTTTGTGTGTTCTTGGTGAAATTTGTGTGAGTGTGTAAAATTTGAAGCATCATTCATTTAAAATGTATTTAAAAATGTGTATATTTGTAAAACAATAAAAGCTTTAAGATTAGAGATGGGCTTCTGGAAGTGACAACGGCACAGGAGAGAATGTCCCTGTTACTCATCCTGACCAATTGCTCACGCTGGCCTCTGTTTGCATTCAGATCCCCAGGTATATCATCACACTTCATGAACTCCTCGCTCATACGCCCCATGAGCATGTGGAGAGGAAAAGTCTGGAATTTGCTAAATCAAAATTAGAAGAACTGTCCAGGTATGTGGGGAACTGATAATAAAGGGGAAAGCAGCTGCTTAGTCTCTGTGGAAACGTAATGTGTGTGTCCAGGGAACAGAAGCAAGACACAGCCCAGCTTCCCAGATTCACCTGCATGAGTGCTAGCTCTTGAGATGGTGCTGAATCAGCATGCTCATTAATTTTAACCAAGAGAAAAACATATCTTTGAAAATGTTTTTATAGCATGTAAATTTATGTCATTGAGATTAGGTGTATTTTGGATTAAGTTTGAAAATATTCACATTTATTTCAGCATAATAGAAAAATGATTTTTAGTTGCATTTTTGTATTCGTTTTTGGCAAGAAGCTAGAGAATGCATATTTTGGATTTGTCGGTGACTTTTCAGTGTTTCAGACAGTTATTTACATGTGTGTTCCTATAGCTTATATGGGATAAATGGTATAAAGTTCTTTCATTTACTCCACCACTAAGAAATGACATCCTAACTTCAACGAAGGAAGCTGTTCATGAAATAATACGTTGCTTTCCTGTTGCGTTTACGAGCAGCGTTCCCAGGATACTCACTGATCACTGACCCGCTTACCATTTGGGATCGTGATGAGCGTTGGCCTTGCTTTGGCTCATGACTTGTTGAAGCCTGGAGGTCCAGTCGGCTTCTCCCACAGCCCCAGTTAGATGGATACGAGTTCAGAACTGAGCTTCCCAGATGGAGCTCTTCTTTGCTTACCTGAGAGGGCCATGGAAAATATCTCTTCCTGTGATCCTGTCTGTGTTGTGTCTGACAGGGTAATGCACGATGAAGTAAGCGACACTGAAAACATAAGGAAGAACCTTGCCATAGAAAGAATGATCGTTGAGGGCTGTGATATTTTGCTGGACACCAGCCAAACTTTCATCCGCCAAGGTAAGCCCTTGCTCAGCGGAGCCATCATCTAAGTGATCTCTGTGACTGTCGCATTCTCACTGGCAGACCCAGGACAGGGTTTTGGAGCAGGCTTGATTTAGCTGTGTGATTGATGCTGTCGATGCAGGACATCCCCATGGCCTTGTCTGAGGCTGTGGTTGAGGCCCACCTTTGTGCTGTTTCTTTTCAGGGGCCATGAAAAACAGCAACACAATAATAGTAAAGCACGAATGGGACAGTAAATTCCATTCTGACTGGACTCTCCTCCTCAGTGGACCGGACGTTCTCTACAGCTCCAAGGAGGACAGATCGGTCTGGCCGATTGGAGTGGCAGTGCCAGGTGGTGACGACATCCAGGCAAAAGCCCAAGAGAAACTTGCATTGCTCAAAGCCCTTTCACATAGCAGTGGGGACAATGTCCGAAGTGAAAACAGCTGTCTTTTGTTCCCATTTTTCATCAGCACTTCTGGATCAGCCCCCCATGATATGATTTGATTCAACTGGTAACTCCAGTTGCCAGATGAAATGGTTCGCAGTCGACCCCCACCACACTTCAGTGTGTGCCACACTTTGGTAATGGTGATGGTATCTTGTTGTTGGGGAGCGCTTTGTGGGCATCACCCAGTAAATTAAGCTTTTGAAGAGTTGAAGATACTTGTGCTGGAAACGCTGGAGAAACGACAGCCTATCTAATGGTGCCAATTCCTCCTTGGCTCTCCTTCCAAAGTGCATGAATAAACCTCATCCCAAGCTCTTTTGAAGTGCTTGGTGCTCTGAGTGGGGGGAGCAGGCCCCCTGGAATTGATCTGAGACAATGTATTGCCCACATTTATAATTTTGAACTTGGTGAGGAGTGGCACTTAAATTTGGAACTAGGATTAACCTTTAATGCAGTTTCTGTTTATAACGTGCCAGTTCCTTTGAAGATGTTCGCATTTCTGTTGCCTACCAAAATGTGCTGCTTAAAATATTTTCTTACCTCATCACACAAGACATTATTTGTGCTGTGCACATTAATTTTTGCACAGAGTACTTCAGAAATTTAACACATGCTGTTCTATTTTCTAGTATTTATTTACAAGGAGAGAAATCACACATATGTTAAAATTTGGAAGTGTATTTTAGGAAATGATAACTTTTCTCCTTTTTGGCTTTCGATGTTAATTTTTCTTTAAGTAATAGTGGAATATAGTGTTGACAATGCCAGGCCTTCCTAATTCCCCCTCTATTCCTCCACACAGAATATGTCACCATATTGGCTTCCTGCCTTCCCGGCACTTGCCTGCCTCTGTGCCTTTTTGTGTGCTGTCCCCAGCCTGGAGGCCGGGAATGCACTTGTCTATCTCTTTCGTGCCTGTGAAAGGTCTGCTTGTCCTACCAGGCTCAGGTCAGACACCTCTAAGGAGCCTTTTAAAATCTCCTCCTCATCTTCCCCCAACCCTCCCTCCAGTTAGAGTGAATTTTCCTTCCTCCTCGTTTCCAAGGCCCGTTGCTCCTGGTGCCTGTATTTCAGCCTCTGTGTATTATCGGTACACGTGTGCATGCCTGCCTCTCCCAGTAATGGTAACTCTGAAGGGCAGTGTTTATGAATTCTCTCTTGCCTAGTGTGCTGCTTTCCATGACAGATGCCTGGAAACTGGGCAGTGGATTAAATTGAATTACTTGTTGAATTGCAGTTTTGATTGTAAGGTGTCTTATTTTGTATTTTTCTTGTATTTGGAGTTCACTGAAAAATACTAATTGTCTTGAGCTTTATAATATATGAGAATGGCAACAAAAGTTTCTTTAACTAGTATTCAGTTGCTAAAAGGACTTTTGATTAAAAACTATTATTATGCATAAACGTTTAATATATTTCTACAAACGTAGACTGTTTTGATCTACGTTTGAAAAGACGTCGATAATGAAAAATGCTTTAAGGTTGAATTTAATGAATAAGTCACATTTCATTACACCTAGAGGAGAACAATCATGAGCCATCTCTCCCTTTCTTCATGTCCAGAAGTTCTTTATTGCTTGTTCTGTACTGCTTCTGTCAGCTATTAATACATCTGATGTCATTACGGTATTGATGTTGATATAATGATGTGCCTTTCAGCAGTATATTTCTCTATTGTTTGCTTTAGTTAGTCTGTTTAGTAATTATTCAATAAAGGTGGTTTTAAAAAATCAAGGCTTGATCTGAAAGTAGACAGTAATCCAATTACAGACAATTTGGGAAGTTTGCCTGGTTTTGCTCTGGTCGCTCCTATGATCACTTTTATTAAATAGTCTTAAGGGGCTTTAAAACCCACGGAGGTGTTTTTTCTTTTTCTAATTCTTTTAAACTTTTGGGGATTCTCTTTTCTATGAAATGGACTACAGTTTATCTCTAGTTGTGTGCTAGTATCTGTGTTATTTACTTCAGGGGTGATATGAGGTGTGTTTCGGCATATGTGTGCACATGCATGTACACAAAAATGTGCGTGGTTTCAATCTGAAATGAATTTTTATTCTGAGGACTAGAAAAAATAAGTCTTCCAGGTCATCTGAAAGGCTCTTCAGGATAGAGGCATCAGCCAGTCTTGAATATCCACCCATGGGATTTTAGTGATTGAAATAACAGAAGTTTTATTGTAAATTGATTCCAGTTATCAAACAGTTGATGGGAAGGACGCAAAAGCCTGTATCATGGTGGTGGTCTGCTGCTGTCATTTATTTTTCAAAATCTGTCCAAAGTTTATTGAGCAAATGTTTAAGTGTCTGACGCAATAATAGGAAGACAGCACAGCCCTGTCACTGAAGGTCAAATCCTGTCTCCGCTGCTTCCTTGCTGTGTGATGCTGGGCAATTTACTTAACCTCTCTTTGCCTCAGTTTCCTCTCCTTAAGTTGGAATTAATAGTAGTACCTATCTGTTAGGATTGTCGTGAAGACTAAATGAGCTAATACTCACAGAAGCTTCTAGACTAGTGCCTGTGAGGTTATACTTTAAAAACCAAGATCCGAATTTTGTAGTAAGTTTCTATATTCAATAACATGAGATATATGTGAATATTTAATAGAAGGTACAGGCGCTCTTGACATTTTGCACAAAACCCACTGTGCATAGTCAAAACTGTCTTGTGGAAATGTGAAATAGGAAAATTAAACAAAGGTGACTGAATTCAGAGGGAAATGCATTGGGTCTGAGACTTGGACTTCTCTGGTACCTTAGTCATTCCCAGAGTCAAAATCGTATACTTTCAATGTACCAGTGCCCTCTGACATTGTTACCATGGGGCTACGATAGTTAGACCTTCTCGAATGCCTAACCCAATAACCTGGAAACTGCTCTTTGTCCTTTGCCACTACTGAGTGGAATTAAGGAAAAGGGCATTAGCCGGTCTTGAGTGCCGCTCTGTGGGAATTTAGGGATTGAAATAACAGAAGTTTTGTCGTAAGTTGACCCCAATTATTAGATAGGCTGATATAGAGATGTGAAGGACTTTATCATAGCAATGATCTGACACTGAAGAATTACTAATTTAATTCTAATTATTTCTCTAATTTGTATTAACTAGAGAGGGATCTTCAAATCTCAAGGTTTTGTTGAAACATCACGTCAAATATAAGATGACGTGAAAAAAATCCACTTATGTTTTTTCCGATATGATTGTTTTATAAACCAATGGTGTTAAAATTGTTCACTTTTAATTCAGATGTTTGGATTTCTGTACATACCTAATGCACACAGTCTCCAACATAGTCATAGATGGCTATGAGATGAACAATTATAGATTAAGTGTATTCGTGTATCGTTGCCGAGGAAACATTTCTTTTTTTACCTCAAAGCTGAAACTCACAGTAATTACTAATATATGAGCTATGTATTCTGTAATTTCTGATTTACAAAATCATTAAATGCTAGGAGCACTTAACAATGAACACATTATATCAAGTTTTCATAACCTTGGTTATAGCCTTTCTGAAAATGACTAGCAAATCATTCTGTCCCCCAGGATATTTGTCCTAAGCCCCAGTCTTTTGCTCCACCCTAAGAGATCTCCCTGGATGACTCATGACCACCCCTGGCAAAGCTGGAGCTTACTGTCTTCTCCCATCCGTTCCCTTTCCAAGTGTCAGTTTTTATGTTGCTGAATCCATGTCAGTCTCCTGGTTATGCCACTCAGTTAGGTGTGACCTTGGGAGAGCTGCTTAGCCTCTCAGGCCTAAGTTTCCCCTTCTTTGAAATGCCGAGGTGAGCTAGGTCTCATGAAAGATCTCCTCTGGCTTTGATTCCGTCCCGTGAATCCCGTGAGTATAATCCTTTTGCAGCGATTACTTGCTCATCTACCTCTCTAAACATTCTGCTTTCTGCTTCCCCATCTCTCTTTACTTCTCAAATTTAATTCCTTGCTGCCTGCTCTCTTTACCCGTATGCTCCCACCTACCCCGCCTCCTTCATTTACTCTCCTCTTGCCGGTCAGTCCCTTAAGTGATCAAGCTTTGTTCCCTCGTTCCATACCCTCCCCCAAGGTTCCTTCCCTGCTCTTCTTGAGGCCGGAATACTTCCCTGCTCTGCCTATCAGGCAGCCCCACCTAAACATTCACCTAAATCGATGGAATCCGATGGAGTTGGGGCATGGAGGCCTGGGTCCCTTACCCCTGCACATCTTTAGATCTCTGTTAAAAAGTAGGTGCTGTTTGGAACATTCATAGGTTATTGTGAACGTTTTATGACTCACAATCATAGTTTTACTATTTTATGTACGTGAAGAACTGTAGTGTTTTTTCCCACTTATAGAAGTAGTCTGTGCTCATTAAAAAAAAATAATCAGGAAACCCAGAAAATGTATGAAGAGGAAAACCAGATTGCCTGCAATCTCATCTCTTAGTGGTGACCACTGTTAATATTTAAGGGTTGAATATGCATTTAATGGTTCTTATGAGGCTGCATTTAATGGTTCTTATGAGGCTGATATAAGTCTTTGTAAGGCTGCATTTGGGGTGGGTGGTTGTTAAACAAAGAGTAGAAATATTACTGGCTCAGGGCATTTCAGACGTCAGAGTCAAAGGTATTTGGAAAAATCTTTTAGTACTTTTCGGTTTGCTATTTCACTTAGATTGGAATTTATTTTGGGGGGGAGAGGGAGGTCATTATTAGGGTGAAATTATATAAAGTCTAGGAAGAGCTTCTCAGATTGAATGGAAGATAGCTTTACTCGCAAGAATGTTCTGGGTATAGACTTTACAAGGTTTCTTTTCCATTTAGATTCACAAAGAATTTTTATCACACATAATTTAAATATAACCTGAAATAGCTGCCCTTGAAAAATATTCCTTAACTAAATTGCATTGAATTGTATAATTTGTGTATTTTTATAATATACGGATATTGCACATTCTATTTTTTAAGTGCAGAGTAAACTACATTAATATGCTATTTGTATGCCGTCGATGCTTCAGGAAGCATAAACTCTATATGGTTTTTATTATGTTATTTTAGTACTGTATGTAATTGTACAATATGTACCTTGTTCTTAAGGACATAAGTTGATTGAGATCAGATCACCAAGGACAGATGGCAGAAGTGCCTCGTTCTTTGCATTCAAATTGGCTTTCTTTCAAACTTATTTTCCAGCTTACAGATGAATAATCAAGTCTAAAATGTTTTAGAAAATAATCGGAATTAGTGTGACCCTTAAAACACAATGTGTTGTTTCTTCTGCTCAGAGTGTAGGGGATTTATTTGTTCCGATGGTGCATCCAGTAAATCCTTGGTATCTTGGAAAACAGACCCTAGTGTTTATTGCATCAGGAATGGCTCTCACTTGACAACATTTTAATTGCTGTGTGTTCTTCACTCTTGTGATCACCAGGTTCTCTTATTCAAGTACCTTCCGTTGAGAGGGGGAAACTTAGTAAAGTTCGCCTGGGTTCATTGTCTTTGAAAAAGGAAGGAGAAAGACAATGCTTCTTATTTACAAAACACTTTTTAATTTGTACAAGAAGTTCAGGAGGAAAGCTGCATCTGCTCAAGGTACTGGTTTTACATGACTATTCCATCTCTGTTCCATGCACTTAAGAGGCATTGAGGTTAATTTAATTCTGACTTTCCCAGGCCTGGAATCATAAAACGCATGTCACAATTGCATAGTGAGGTAAGGTACAGTTACCAACCTTGACATTTGCTTTGTTGTCAATTGGATCCAAAGTAATAGAAATTTAAGTGTGAATTACTATAAAGAAGTGAAATTAAAATTATATCTTGTGCAAAATTATTACTAATTGATGACTCTGAGCTACAAAAAACCCTGTCAAATCACTTCATTGTACTGAGGTAATATTTGCTGAATGCTATTTTATCTTGCTGTATACCAAGAATCAGCAAACCATGGCTCACAGCTTGCTGCCTTCTTTTGTTAATAAAGTTTTATTGGAACACCGCCATGTTCATTTGTTTATATATTGTCTGTGGCTGCTTTCATGCTTTTTAAAAAAGATTTAAGTAGTTGCAAGAGAGATCATCTGGCTTGCAAAGCCTAAAATATTTATTATCTGGCCCTTTACAGAAGAAGTTTGCCTATCTGTACCTTCTGTTGTTAGTGCCTAAAAATATTATCCAACATCATGATAATGGCTTTTTATTGCTTGAACTACTTCCTGGTTGGTGAATTCAGCCGTTTGCTGAGCTGCATTCACTCTCGAGGGCCCCTAAGGAGCCATCTTGTCTCCCATACACTGGCTTGCTAAATTTTATAAACCTTGGGAGTGAGAGTGGGTTGGGGGAAAAGAATCATGACGTTCAGTGAGTTCAATTACTTTTTACCTGTCTAACTTTAATTTTGGAATCTATGAAAAATTATTTCTGATGCAGAATTGCTATGCTTTCTTCTATGGCAACTTGAATATAAGGTTTACAAATCAGAGCTTTCCAGGCTGTGCAGAACTCAGCCTCTTAATGAAGACTTGTTTCGTTTCCAGACAGGTGGGGTTCTGTCTCTAATAGAATGTACGTTGATTGAGGAGCCCGATGCCGGTGACGATGATTGTAAGTCACGTTCCATCACTTAGCATAAGAAAGGTCCCACGAGTTTTTATTAATTTACAGCTCAGAAGAGCTGCTTAAGGAGGCAGGAGACGTGCTGAGAATAAACTCCCTGAAGTCACTTATATATGAAAAATCCTATTGAGCCATTTAACCTGTGAGCCTTGTTAAACCATCTTTGGGAATTCATATTTTACTGAGTTGGTCTCGTGATAGTGACTTTTTAGTAGCAGGCAGAGAAGAAAGGAATTGAATTAGAGTGTTGGAATTGTGTAGATTATGGAAATTAAAAAAAACAGAAACAGGAAGTGAGGACACCAGCATCCTAGTCCTGAGAGTACAGACCTCAGCTTCTTCATCTGCTTATGGGCTCACGGAAGCCTTCCGCGTGCCTGAGAAGTACCACATTGCCGAAATAAGATTTTGGACTTGCATGCACATCGATCATGTTACTAGAACTATGTTAAAGCAGCTATCACTCGTGTTTTTGTAGTAACATCTACTTGCTTGGTTTTTGTGTGTTGAAGCCAAAGGTTCTGGGCAAATGTTTGGACACCTGGATTTTAAAATCGTGGTGGAGCCCCCTGATGCTGCCCCCTTCACGGTGGTCTTGTTAGCACCTTCACGCCAGGAGAAAGCTGCCTGGATGAGCGACATAAGTCAGGTGAGCAACTGACTTTTGCCATACTTTTTTTTTTTTTTTTAATTTCACAACATAAATTTTTGGGGAGGTCTTTTAGAGTTATTTTATTTTTCTTAAAAAATTACATCTGATTACCATGCTACTGTAACCACTATGGATCTTGATATGCTGGGATCATGTATTGTTGTTGCTGTTTTTCTGTTTAAGGTTAAAATTTACCTGAAATTTAGTACTTGCATTTTAGTTCCAAAGCATTTTTGTACAAGCTGTAAATGTCATCCCTTATGTTGAACAGTGTTAAAATTGCCCTGTTAGTAATAAATTGTCCAATGACCCCATTAGATTTTTTTTTGCTTATTTGTTTCTGAGGTAAGAAAATGTTGAGAGATACAAAAACAGCTAACAAGGGCTCTGGCGAGACCTCACAAATTAAGGAATCATACCAAAGAAGGGATGCTGTCTGTGGTATGAGATCTGAAATGAGCTCATGTGTTTTGTGTAGGAAAGAATAGGGAACAGATTTGCTTACCTTTCCTGGATCATCAGTGCCGCATCGGGGAATGGCTCTGTTTACTCAGGATTTGGAAAAATGTCAAAACTAGTAAAGATTGGAGCTGGGCATTCCTAAATCCAAGCTCCACGTTAACTGTGGCTCCATTAGCCAGCACAGGAGAAAAGTGAAGCAGTGTAAGGAAAGTATTAAAAGATTATCTTCAGAGTTGTTAACTCAAGGAGGATTAGGGCAGACAGAAAAGGCATATACTGTAGCTTCCATTGCCTTCTTTTTTTGAAGAGCTCATAGTAATTTATATATGACTTAGGTAAAAACATGAACCGTATCATAGTTCTTCAGATACTTCATTTTCTTTCTGAGTGACTAAAAACTGAGGGGAGATAGAAAGAGAATGAATGGCAGAAGTAATTATTTTTATATGTTAAAGAAATTTTACAGACTTAATCTCATTTGACCCTTACAATAGTATTCTGGAGGTAAACAGAAATATTAGTCCCATTTCATGGGTGAGAAACCTAAGGTTTAGAAGTCTAAACGTTTGTCCAAAGTTACACAACTGAGTCAGGACCGAAACCTAATCCAGGTTTTTTATTAACAGTCTAAACGTCCTCTACCGGAATGCTGGATATTTGCTGTCTACCCCCAAGAATGCTTTGATGGTGAATAAAGAGCTAGAAGTGAAGGAACTTCTTTTCTGGCTAACAAAGGAATGAAAATATGGGATCTTGTATATTTGCATAATTACATCCTTGTGGTGATTTATTAATACTTTCATTAGCTCTATGCTGTATATATTAATACTTTAATTAAGTCTCTCTAATGCATCTCTTATCTTATGAAACTCTGAATTGCTTGTTGATTCTATGAATGTTTATCGAGCAATCACCACATGCTGCCAGGTATCGTGTAGGTCCCAGGGATATGGGATGGTCCCTGTTCTCAAAGAGACACGCAGGCTAATAGGGAAGAAAGGGAAGTAGACAGCTTAATGCAACACAATTTTGTAGGTGTTGTGAAGCCAGGACAATTAGGAAGAGTGAGGGGAATGCGAGCGTAGGCAAAGACGTTTCCAGCTGCTTCCAGCTTCTACCTTATGATGTATCTGGGGCTCCTGAGATACAGAGTTGATACAAGCCTTAAGTGACCTTCCTTAGGGTACCTGGTGAGGCATTGCCAAGAGAGAAAGACCCATGGGATGTGTGAATGATTCTATACCAAGACCTTTAAGGAGAGGATCCAAAGCTTTGCCTGCCGGAAGCATCCAAGTGAGTCTGTCTACTTAGACTATTTCTTGAGGCAGATGTGTACAGCTTCCTCCTGTTTCTCCAAGCTGCTGTGGCTTACATGGTAAATTGTACTAGATGCTTTGTACAATTGAATAGGAGAAGGAAGCTAACGGAAAGTTGTATCTTTGAGTGACAGTGATATCATGACATACAATTACTATGTTCAGCAGAGCCTTGATATTGTGTGGCTTTGACGCTTATGATTTCATTCATTCCACAAATACATTCATGCGGTGACACTGTATGCCAGGCACTGTTTAGGCATTTGTGATGCATCATCAACAAGAGAGGCAAAGGCAACAAAAAATTCCCTAGCCTTGTGTAGCTTACATTCTAGTGTGGGGAAGACTGAAAATGAACAGTAAACATCATAAATAAGTACACACTATTTTATGTTAGAAGGCGACAGGGCAGGGTAAGAAGAATTGGACCCCTGGAGGCAGGTGTGAGTTGGTACGGTTTTAAAAAGTTGGTCATCTCATTCTGAAGAAGGCATCTAAACAAAGACTGTAGCAGGTCATGGAAATACTATGTAGATGTGTGTTGAAGCGAAAGTCATTCCAAACAGAGGGAACAGCCATTGCAAAGACTCTAGAGCAAGAAGACACTGCATATTTTGAGTAATAGCATGAAGGTCAGAGAAGCTGAAGTGAAATGTGTGAGAGGGAAAATTGAAAAAGAGGAAGTCATTTAAATAGCATTGTTAAGTAAGCAAAGGGATGCAGAAGGTCACCGTTTAGGGGAGAGAGACTATGCCATTTAAGTGGAATTTAAGGCTGTGAGACTGCTGAGATCACCCAGGGAGCAAGTATAGATAGAAATGAGACGTGGGCTGTGGTCTGAGTGAGGCATCAGGGATAACAGCAAAAAGGACTGAGAAGGAACCACCAGTGTGGGGGACAGCCAAGATGGCATGGCATCCTGGAAGTCAAGGGAGGAAAATGTATCAAGGAAGAGGGGGCGGTCACGTGTCAACACTGGTAAAGACTGAGTTTGGTAGTGAGTGCTCTGAGATACTTAGTGATTTTCCTGAGGCAGAGTTTGAAGGGTGGGTGGTGCGCACAGAGCGCTCCACTATTGATTGAGCCTAGCCTGCTGCCCAGCAGTCTGCATCTCAGCTGGGCTTCGTTCCCCACTTAAAGCATTTTCATTTTCTGGGGAAATTTGTGTGCTGTACCTACATTGATGGAATTTGTCCGTCTCCCAAGTATGTCTCTGGGCATATTCATTATTAATAAGATGGGCCTACCAAATGCTGGAAAAGTACTTTTTAATATTTTATTATGTACAAAATATATATAAAAATATGGAGGGGCTGGCTTGGTGGCGCAGCAGTTAAGTGGGCATGTTCCGCTTCAGCAGCCCGGGGTTCACCGGTTCGGATCCTGGGTGCGGACATGGCACCGCTTGGCAAGCCATGCTGTGGCAGGCGTCCCACATATAAAGTAGTGGAAGATGGGCACGATGTTAGCTCAGGGCCAGGCTTCCTCAGCAAAAAGAGGAGGATTGGGAGGATTGGCAGATGTTAGCTCAGGGCTGATCTTCCTCAAAAAAAAAAAAAATATATGGACACAAAAAGGAACTACAAATAATCCCAGCACCCCTCACACTAAATAAATGTTTATCAAAATATTTTCCACAGATAACTGTATTAGAATTACCAGAGGGTTCTTTTAAAAATGCAGATTCCTGAACCCACATTCTAGACAGTCCACAGGCTTAACAAGCTCCACAGATCACTTTTGCACAATTAAATTAAAGAAACTCTGTCCTGAATGTCAACTGTTTCCATCTCTAAACCCCCCACGATCTTGCCATACTGAAATAATTTTATGGTTTGTCTCTCAGTGTATTTATGCATCTTTTCTTGCCTTTTACCTCATTTACATCTTTCTCTCGTCCTACAAATTCTTCGTATTGTTGTCTTCTAACAGGTGTTGGTGTCTTCTTATTAGGCATGTGGGCCGTTTCCAAGTGTTAGCATTAATGTATGGTGTGGTGCTAAACATCTTTGTGTAGGGAAGTTTCTCCCCTTTCAAGGTCCCTCGTTGGTATATCTTCCCCAAAGCGGGAAAGGCTGGGTCAGAGGGCCTGACCATGTTCATGATTTCATGATTTGTGACTCAACAGACTGACATAATGCTCCAAGAAATATTTAACTCATCATTTCACTACATCATCAGCAAGATAACTATGCGACTTTCTTCTAAGTCCTGCCAATGTTGATTTTGTCACATTTATCACATTTTCCTATTTAATGGAAAAGTGGTATTGCTTTCTAGTGGCTTTAATGTACATTTCTATAATTATCAATGAGATTAATGTTTTCCACTATTTCTATTAAGAAATCTGTTTATACCAGATAGACGTTTATTCATTGGAGCTATCCTTACAGACTAGGGAAATGAATATTTTCTTTCAGTTCAAATTATGACTATGTTCTCCATTATTTTGTCTTTTTATTTTTGTCACTCTTTATTTGGCAAAATCTTAATTTTTTTGCGGCTTGATTTGATGCCACCTTGCTAAGCTGTTGTACTGTTACGCTAATCACATGTGGCTCTTGTTTTGAGATAATAAAGTGGTTCCTGAGTATTGACACAATCCCAGTTTCACATAAAGATTCTGCAGAAAAATAAAGACTTTTGGTTTTGCAGGCCTCTCTCTCCGAAGCTGTAATTTTTAGAAGTAACAATTGCTTGAATGATTAATTACACTTTTAGTTACACAAGTAAGGCCATAATTAACTGTTGGCGCCTCCAATAAAATGTGCAAGTGGCTAATGGTCCTGACCAATAATTCTTCCCTTTTTCATCTATTTATAGAGAAAAAATTGAGGCTGAAGATTTGACCATTCATTTCAATATATTGCCTTCATTTGTGCTTGTCTTACTGTCATACATAATGGTGTATTAAACAGGTTTTTCTGTAATTATGGGTATTAACTAAAATGCAGAATTAAAATTCACCCCTGAGTTTCTTGGTTTGGGCAGATGTATCAAAATATAGACCTTGTATAGGCAAATAGGTAGCATACTAACATGCTTTTTCCCTTAAAATAGCTTCTCTAGAATCAATAGGAAATTTTCTACTTTACCATAAAAAGGTGAATTAAAAGAGAAAAATTGAATCTAAGCTTTCTTCCTACTACTTAGAAATATTAAGAAGGTAAAAAACATATGGTGACACAGTAGACCATTGACCTCTGAACAGGTATTGCCTTAAGCAAGACCCTCAAAAAATCCTGCTGGAGAAGTCATTCTCACCCCTTGGCCAAGGATCGGCTGTGTCAAAATCACCTGGGGCTTTTGTGAACAGACTGATCCCCAGGTCCCACCCTAGTCATAGTCATCACAAACTGAACTGGAATATCCATGCCTAGGAATCTGCTTTGGTTATCCTATTAATTTCAAGATTTACTGTAATTCACATAAATTCAATGTGGCCTTAAAGATAGGTGACACCCTGGTTATTTTCTTGTATTTCTTCCCAAATGAGTAAACTGTATTCATTTTCCCCAGGCTCAATCTCTTCTCTCCAACACAACCAAGATATATGCTTATATGATCATGAATATGCACTATGCCTTCCAATATAAATATATTCATACACACATTCATATATGCAAATTCTATTGTAGTTTAACCTTTTTTCTGGAAAAGAACTCTTTCTCCAGTGCAGCATTACTGAAAGTCCCAAATGGAGGTAAGGTAAAAGCACACTATGCTGGTTGAAGTGGGTTATTGGACCCAGAGGCCCAAGGAGTTCTATTTGTTCACACCCGTATTGTGCATGGAGCCTGTCTGTAGAGCCTTTAAGAAATGAGGAGCCGATTTCAAAACACTCCTCTATTATAAATATACCGTAATACATTTTATGTATACATATATATGTGTATATGTATTATCTATCTATCTATATATATCTCCATCCATCCCATGGATCGATTAAAGATTGTGTGTCAGTTATCAAAGACTTTTTTGTACGACTAAAATATGACTTTTCGTTATATGGTCTTTTGAGCTGTAGTTCAGACTGCATGTATGTTTTGTTCTCCTGAAACTTGAGTGTAAGTGAAAATTTCCTTTTCTTCCTATTGAAAATTATTTTAATGCCTCACACAATGAATCAGAAAGATTTATGAATGAGATCTGACATTGGATAATGAGATGTTCAGAAATGGTCACATAAATCTTCTCTTTTGGATCTAAAACATTCATCTCCAGTTCTAATTCCAGCAGTGGGGGACTGAGCTGATTTAGATCCCCCTTAGCCACAAAACCGACGTCTTTAACACATAGAAACAGTATAATAGAAAAATTTAATACATTGGTGATATTTACAGATATAAATCTGTAAATCTCTAGTTGCCAGAAATAACAAGGGCACTTAAAGTCAGAGCAGAAATGTTGTAAGCTGAAGACGTAGAGACCTGGGAACGATTTTGGATTGGATATTGGTCCCAAAGGGAGTCAGTGCTAGCCTTGGGGCTCTTAAAGAAACTGAGATCCCTGTTTAGAGCCTGGACATTGGAAGGCTGTCCCTTGTGTGAAAGAAGAACTAAAAAATCTACCCTTTAGGCCAGGAGAAAAATAAGGAAGTTTGTCTTTGTGTTGGGTTCTGAATTTTTAAAAATCTCCTTTGAAAAACATGAATGTGTTTCTGGTCTATGGATTTGACATTCAGATTTATAATATTCACATGGTGTGAAAATTCCAAACTGAGAAATTAATGTAAAAATAAATTTTGGCAAATGCTTGGTAGAAGCAAACACGAAGTGACTCCGTTAGCAACACTTCCACAGGTCAGGGCTTGTGACAGTGTGCTCAAAGTCGACAATTAGAAATCCTGTGAGTCAATTATCTATCATGAGTAAGAGTCAGAACACACAGTGAACAGTGTAATTAGCACTGCTAGAAACTCAGATAGTAGAGTGATGACTTGGAAAAGATTGTAAAATAAGAGTGTTTAAAATATAATAAAGCTATAAAGAAAGAGAGAGACAGAGATAGAGAGAAGAAACCAGAAAGAAAGAACAGATGACTGTGTAAAAAGGACCAGGCTGATCTGTCAAAGAACCAAATAGAGAACCTAAACATGGAAACTTAGTCCTAAGTCATCCTAAGGCTGTTGTCTCTGTAACTATGCCATTTGCTTAGAATGTTAAAGGAAATTGAAGGAAGTTGTTCATTTTCCACAATTCCCACTGACACTATGTATCTCTGCCCTCCCACTTCCTGTATTGGTTAACCAAGTGGCATCCTCATGGTGTTTCAGAAACATTGAGAGTGAAAAAAAGCTGACAAGTAGCTAGAAAGATCCCTGGGGTAAAGGATTACGTATCCTCTCCTCCTTTCCCTCTTTGTGTGCAACCTCTGTCCCCATATAACCCTTTCCCCTTGCCCCGCCGCCCCCCCATAGTTTCATAAAACAGGGATTATGTTAACCTATATTTTTCCACTGAAATTACGAAAGTGAATCTGAAGTGTTTGCTTTATTCCTCTTTGAAGGTCTGTCATATCTTCTTTCTCTGCTCTTCACCCTTGTCTCCCAGTGCTTAGCCCAGTGTCTGTCACATAGTGAGTACTCAATAAATGCACACATGAGACGCTCATTTAATAAAACTCCTAGTGCTGTATAATCAGTGCACCTTCTTGGTGAGCTTGAGAATTCAAAAGATAGACTAGTTTTGGTTAAGTTCTGTATCATTCAAGAGAGATTTGGCCATTCTTTATTACTTTTAAATATATTTGCATCAGAAAAATCTTAAATTGTATAATAGCAATGGTCATCTTTGACTTTTATCTTTTTTTCTCTTGATTTTATTCAAGAACATCAATTTCTGTTCTTTCTTTCTTCCAAATATTTATCTCTATCCCTTCCTCTTCATTCCCATGGTCTGCCTCAGGGGAGGCATGAATCGTTCCACTTATTGACTCAGAATATCGTTCTGATGATCTCTGGGTCTCCATTTATTCTTCTCTCTTTTCCAGTGAACACCTCCATGAGGCCAGCTGTAGATCTTTCAGCATAAATGGACCACTTAGAAACCCTCAGTGGCTTCCATCTGCCTACCAGATGAAATCCAATTCCTTCCTTTATAAGAGACAATTTGGTAAAACTTGTAATTACTTTAAGGATGTTGATGAGGACATTGCTTATTTCATTATTCAATATTTTCTTTATGAGAACCCATGAAATAATTTTTCTCTGGATTCTGGGATTCTAGGATTAATTGAACTTCTACTAAACTGTGAATTTTGTAGCTGACCACGTGTCCCCCTTTGAATTGGCTGTTCCATAACCTAGCTAATTTTGAGGCTCACCTATAGCAAGTGTTTGGGACTTCTCAACATAAAGTATGTGTGGTGGCTTCATTTCAGGCTTCATGTTATTGTTTTCCACCCTTTATCCAAATCCTCTCTATTTTCTTACTTATCTTGACTTTTGTCTTATATGTGCTTTTGTAATCTACCTTGTGGGAATAAGATGGAGTATGAACTCACATATAATGATATATAACCAAATTGATAGATAGATATCTGTAATTATTCATACAAAAAGATAACTCCAAATTATTTCCAGATGCTATAGTTTAAGGAAATGAGTAGAAGGGGAACTTTAAAATTTCCACTTTATTCCCAGAAGTTGGCATTGCCTGGTCATTGAAACGATGGCAGAAGACCTAAGGAAACAAATTTTTGAGGAAAAACAAGTATGATAAAGGCTAATATACTAAGTAGACTGAATGGTGATCCATAGTTTCTTATCCACATATTCACTCCTTCATTAGACATTGGGGTTCAGGTGAACCCTGGGTTCCAGACCTTTGTGAAGGTACTTGGCAATCAGCTTCTTCACACTGTTTAATTGCAGTCAAAAAGCACTACATGATGTCTTAGGAACTAGAAGTAATTTCTGATTTTAAAAATTGTTTCTATCTTTTCTCGTTTTCTGTTTTGTTCAAAAGTAATATGTATAATTCAAAATAAATCCTTCTTTAACCCAAAATAATTGCAAAGGGAAATTTTAAATTGATGAAACATAGATATAAATAAAGAAGGCAGAGAAAATTAGCTAAAGTTCCTGAGTTTTCCTCTTAGAAAGAAAAGAGAAAAAATGAACAGGGCTTTATGTGTGCCAGAAACAGGAGAAGTTATGCAATGCTTCCTCACCAAACCAACATGGTGCCAATAGAAACTGCTAGAGAAACTAGCAAAATGTGGGAATTTATTGGCAAAAAAACACCTGAGAAGGAGGCACAGAGCGTACTGGTGAGATTGAAGATGAATTCCATCCAAGGAAGTCACCATCTCTACTCTGCCTGCCCCATACCGCCCCCTAGGGCAGAGAATGAATATAGCAGAGGCAGTCACCATAGAAAGGTATAAACCTCTGGAGTACAGAGTGCTGCTACCACCAGAGAATTGTGACCATGTGACGTCATGTTCAGAATCCTTGGGAAACACATTCCAGGAAAATATAGCCCTTCTGTCTGTCCTCAGGTGTTTGCCAGGTACACTGTTTGGTATCTGGATAATGAATCTGTTCTTCAGTGTGTAATGTTTACCTGCTGCTGTGTGTGTGTGTGCGTGCACGCACGTGTGCACAGATGAGAAACCCAATTTTTTTTGTGGCTATAAACAATTCCAAGAATATATGATCTGCTTAGGTTTTCATGTGGGTTCTAATTGTCTATTTTTTAATTTCACAGTGTGTGGACAATATACGGTGTAATGGTTTAATGACTATAGTGTTTGAAGAGAATTCCAAAGTTACTGTGCCACATATGATTAAGTAAGTGTGATAATCCTTTCTCTTGCATTTTAATCAAGATCAAATTGGTAGAGAATATAGCACCCTGAATAAAATATTGCTTCAGTAGGATGTTGCTTCATATTGTGAATATGTTTCTTGACAGTAATGCGATGATTCGTAATACGCCATTATAAATACTAAGACTATCAAAGTGGTTTTTCAGATTCATAGTGCATTGACTCAAGCATAGAAAAATTGTTTTTCATACTGTTACACATGCCTTCACTCAGGACAAAAGCCTGTCTAGATTTTCAAGTTCCATATAAAAAGTTGTGACAGCCAGATGTGTCCAAGGTCAGAGAGTGGACCAAAATATGGCAGATTCTTTTGGCATCTTTCCAGTGGGTATGAATCATATTACTCAGGTCTGGTTGTAGAGATACCTTTAGATTTTGATGATACTCAACGTGAATCGACTGGCTTTTCCATGGTACCGTGTATCCACTGCCTAGATATGGATGTGCCCCAGAGACTAGTGCCCAGGGCTGCTCTCCTGCCCTCTATGTGTTCTGTTAACAAAGGAAATCCTATAATTTAAAGTGATCAATTGGGAAACTATAGTTTAAAATGAGAAGTTTTATTAATAATGATGTGTCATAGCTGTCTGTATTAATGCTTTTCTCTCTACACACTTTTTTGTTTCCAAATCCAGAAATTGTTTTGGGAGTATTTTGAAGCTGACCAAATTGTTCCCTACTCTCATTTTCTTGGTTATTTGCCTTCCAAATTCTAAGAACAAAATGTATTTTTAAAAGCAGTCCTATTATATCTTTCAGAAAAAGTTACATGAAACTAAGAAAATCTTTGACTTCCATGCCTTTGTATGTGGATATTTTTTAGGTCTGAGCTGCTTATGCTAAAGCAATAAATAGCATTAATTTTCCTCTTCTGATAGGTATTAACTATAATTGGCATTATCCCAATGGTACGAATTTTAAAACTTATTGATTATTGTATCAGATGAAGGGAGAGTATATTATACTAGTACCATAATTACTACAGAAAAAAATTATAAAAGAGTGATAATATAGTAAATTACCAGTCAAATTTAAAAACATTTTGGTTATGATCATTTTAAAACGCTAGGGCAAAAATTCCTTTAGCATTCAGTTTTTTAGGTTTTAAATTTAGTATAGGTTTTGTGTGTGTGTGTGTGTGAGGAAGATTGGCCCTGAGCTAACAATCTGTGCCAATCTTCCTCTATTTTGGATGTGGGATGCCCCCACAGCATGGCTTGACAAGCGGTGTGTAGGTCCATGCCTGGGATCCAAACCTGTGAACCCTGAGCTGCCAAAGTGGAGTGTGCATACTTAACCAGTACGCTACTGGGCTGGATCCAGTATAGTTTTTTAAAAAAAACAGATTAGTTAAAAATACATAATGCTAAGATTAAAAAAAGTATGGAATATTAGGTCAAAAGGTCCAAATTATGGCTTAACTTTAAAATTCACATCATTGGGTTAGAATTTTCTTCTTCTTATTTCTTCTTAAATTCTACCATAGGGTTCTTATTTTATTATTTCACAAAATAATACATATTATTTTTATTCATTTTTTAAAAGTGCCTTCTTGAAGATTAGACAGCCATGAACGTCTGACTGCTTTAGAATGTGTAAATTGGACGTTGCAGCTGAGTTATAAGCTTCTAAACCCTAGGGCAGCTGCACACCCACCATACATACATTTTGTGGACTTTAAAAATTAATACAGGTAAAAGCTTTAGTTTTTTGTCTGACTGGTTATGCCTGGCGCCCCAATGCATCTTCTATCTGCTTTGATGGCAGTTTGACCAGTGTCCATGTTCCAGTCTTGTTTGTATAACCACCTCCCGTATCCCATACAGACCAAGACTGTCCTGGTTTTGGGTGCAGAGAGGTGGCACTTAACTGAGTAGGAATTACTCTCCTGCGAGGACAGAAATCTGTATCTCGGGCTGTAAGGATTTTCTATTAGAGTCACATGTGTTTTGATGCTAATCTATACTATGCTAGATGTATTCCCAAGGCAAAGTCTCATATATTTCATCCTTTTATTTTCCCTGCCTCAGTGAGCCTGGTTCTCCTCAATCAGAGAAGAGGATGGTTTTGCAATCTCTGTTCCTTCTGATGATCGCCTCCATGTCCCTATTCTACCCTAAACCCTGTGTTCTTGCCTCCCTGTGAATCTCTCTGGCTACATACATTGAAAAAAAAAGACATTTTGCAGAGTTAAAAGAAAAAATTATCCTGTCTTAATTGTGTCTTGTTACTGACATGGCATCACTTTGCAGGCACTCACTTCCTTTTAAAACTTACTAATTATAGGTGATTTGAGTTTGATGTCTCAAGATTGCTTTTTAAAGTGTTTACCAAAAAGGAGTTGCTATTATCATAGGAGTCTTAAGTAACGCATTATGTCTTTCTTGAGAGTCCCTTAGGAAATAAACTAAGATCTCGTGCTGTGTAATAAGGGAAAATTAAATAATTTCATAATATTTAATTTCTTTTCTTAAAATGAAAATTTAATCACAATTTTGAAGGACAGTGGTGTAATTAGTTGGTTTTATTTTAATTTCATGTTGGCTACAACATATTTTTCCTCTTTAGTGTTTTGATTAAAGTAATTGTAGTCAAAAGATGCAAAGCTCAAAACTACAATTAGAATGGAAAATCATGACATTTATTAGGTGAAAATATCCCTATAAGTGGTGTTTTACATTTTATGTGTATGGGTTAAAGCTTGCCTTCTTTTAATGATAGTTGACCTCTGGGCCCAGCCCCATGGCCAAGTGGTTAAGTTCGCGCTCTCTGATTTAGCTTCACCGGTTTAGCTTTAGTTTCACCGGTTCGGATCCTGGGCACCGACATGGCACCACTCCTTAGGCCACATTGAGGTGGCATCCCACATACCACAACTAGAAGGACCCACAACTAAAATATACAACTATGTACTTGGGGGATTTGGGGAGAAAAAGCAGGGAAAATAAAAGAAGATTGGCAACAGTTGTTAGCTCAGGTGCCAATCTTTAAAAGAATAAAAAAATAAATAAATAATAGTTGACCTCAACTTTCTTAGACTATAGAGATTTTTGGTGGGAAAATGGCGAGAGAAAAAGTGATTACCTCTATCAGCCATCTTCTAGACAGACTGATTCATAGAAGCTTCTAAGATCTTTTTACAAATGAGAAAATTAAGGACCAGAAAAGTAAAGTTGGTTGAGGGCCACATATTGCGTGGAAGAAAGAGCCACGCTGTTTTCAAGAATCTCAAAAGATGCGCTTGTGTATTTTCGAGATCAGTAATGTGACTAAAACCAACAGTCCACTCTGAGCTCCTCACCAGGGGTAAGCTGCTTATTTAAAATGCTCTTTCAGGCCCACAGATGAAGTACTTCCGCCTGAACTGAGCATCCTTTGGGGCGGGAAGTTTTCAAGAGCAAGCTAAGAGAGCTATTGATTCGTTTTTATCCAAAAGAAAATAAACATGTAATTTAAAATCCCCCCAAGTGTTGAAAGGGCTAATTAAGGGCGTTCACAACAAGCCAGTTGGTTCTTAGCAAGCAGTTGCCTCACTGAGTGTCACCAGCCCTGTAGTGTGTCTTTAATCAGATGGTAAAATCCAGGACTCACTGATGGCCTGTTCTGAGATGCTGCAGTGACGGTGAACGAGGGGCCTCAGGAGGGCATGGGAAGGCTCTGGGCAGTCCTAGAAAACGTGTGTATTTCTTTGAGCCCCATTTGTATTCAGCCTCTGCTTCTAAGCTTTTCCTTTTGCAAACTTGGCCTCTTTCGCTCTTTCTAATAGATGTGCAGCCAGGGGCCGTAAGGGCTCCTGTGTGAACCTTCGCCGCAGGTCACTCGGCCTTCTCCTGCATCAGTCCGGGTGAGGAGCAGCCAGATGGGCTGTTTCACCGACTGAGAAGAAGCAGAGCACTGCCGGGGCCGTGGCGGGTGCTCTTCACCGAGAATCTCTAGGAGGGTCACGGCCTATATGTCGCTCATTACTTAATGAAGATATTTTTAATATTGCAGAATATTGAAAACATAACGTTTCACACAACTTATGGATTAAACTGGACTCATAAAATGGATAGCCTTAAATGCATTAATAAGCTAGGAAGAATGAAATGAATTAAAGTATTCAATTCAAGAAGTTACAAAAAGAATGACAAAATAAACTGTAGGAAAGTGTAGGAAGGAAATAATTAAGATAAGAACAGACATTAATAGGTTAAAATATAGAAAAACAGTAGATTTGATAAAGAGCAAGTTCTAGAGGAAGAAATACCTAATAATATAATCCATTAGTCAGTTAGTCAAGAAAAAAGGGGGAAGAACAAACGCACAAAATTAGAAATGAGAAAAAGAAGTACCACAGATATAGCGTGATGTATGTGTGTCTCCCTGCCCGCTCCTCTGTGTGAGGAGAATGTCCTGCATTACTTTTTAAGCGCACTTCTGGTATTCTGATTTAAGGGCATAAGCAATACCTTTCCTAAATAGGGCTTTTGGTTTCATTTCCCTACTAAAATGTAATTGAACTGGAGAGAGAAGTGAAGGGTAGCAGAATGTGCCACCCCAAAATATGGCCCTTTCGTATATTGGTTATTCTGAGCTGTAGGCGCTTGAAAAGGAGCAAATGTGGGGTGGGAGGGACTTTCTCTGAACGTCCCTTGTCTGCCTACAGACAGAGCCTCCAAAAGGAACTCAATTGTCATCAATCCTTTCCCCTGGAATTTCTTCCCCAGGGAGGATTGACCCTTATCACAGGAGAGGAGGCTAGAAGTCCATACCATACCCAGACAGACTGTCACAAACTGTCGCACCTCCCATCTATTCTTCTGAAGGTCCATTCATCTTTCCTAAAAATCACTTACTCTCCCCTAAGAGGCCTACATCTCTCTCTCTATTAAGATGGTATTTAAGCTGGAATGCTAAGCCACCTCAGGAAGTTACTCATTTTCCTTGAGTATCTCCCATGCATATATGAGCACACGTGTCAATAAACTTCTGTTTGCTTTTCTCTTGTTAACCTATCTTTTATTACAGGGGTCTCTGCTAAGAACTCAGAAAAGTAGAGGGCAAATTATTTTTCTTCCCCTACGCAAGGAATCCACAGAGTGAAATGAATTATTATTACCATCTCCACAATTAATTGTGACCTTCCTAAATTATAATGGCAGATTTGGTCTTTTTATAGCTCTGCCTTATAGTATGTAATATGTCATAACAGCATCCTTTATCAAATGCAATGGGAAGGCCAGACCCAAGTGTGTGTTTACAAATACTAAAATACTCAGTGGCTGAGAAGAAGCCGCATCCCGGTTTGGTTCTCATGTTCCTGGTTTGTGCACAGGTCTGATGCCCGTCTTCATAAGGATGACACTGACATTTGCTTCAGTAAAACACTCAACTCCTGCAAAGTGCCCCAGATCCGTTATGCCAGCGTGGAGCGCCTCTTGGAGCGGCTGACAGACTTACGGTTTCTTAGTATCGATTTCCTCAACACCTTCCTGCACACCTATCGGATTTTCACCACAGCAGCTGTGGTGCTGGCGAAGCTTTCTGACATCTACAAGAGGCCTTTTACCTCCATCCCCGTCAGGTAGGCCTGGTATTTGCCTGTCATGAAAGGACGGCTCTCCTGGTTTCTGGTTCTCCATGCAGATGAGCAGCCCAGTTCTGGGGCAGCCTTTAGGGTATTGGCTTGCCTTTGAACTTACTGTGCCCTGCCCCTAGAAGGAGGTGAGTAGAACTCGCATTGTTCCTGAGGGAAGAAGTGGAGAACTCTGAAGACTTGCAGTGGGCTTTGCTTGCTCTGTGATTATTTGGAAGCCAACTCTATTGTTTTAGAGTTTTCAATTTATTTCCTTTTTTAAAGTTATGCTTTTCAAATTTTAATATGCATGAGAATCACCTGGGGGTCTTGTTAAATTGCAGGCACTGATGCAGTTAGGTCTGGCATGGAGGCTGAGTTCTGCATTTCTAAAAGCTCCCCAGAAATATCAGTATATCAGTGTCACTGGGCTTTGGACCACAGCTTAGTAGCAAGGGGTTAGACAAGGCCTAGAAGTACCTGTGTAATTAGACGTAGAAAGAACATGTCTCAACATCGTAAAGGCTATAGATGAGAAGCCACAGCTAATATCATACTCAGTGGTGAAAGGTTGAAAGCTTTTCCTCTAAGAGCAGGAACAAGACAAGGGTGCGCACTCCCACCACTTCTATTCAGCATAGTACTGGAAGTCCTAGCCGGAGCTATCAGGCAAGAAAAAGAGATAAAAGGTATGAGAATTGGGAAGAGAGAAGTAAAACTGTCTCTATTTTCAGATGACATGATTTTGTATATAGAAAATCCTAAAGACTCAACCAGTTCGGTAAAGTTGTAGGATATAAAATTAACAGACAAAACCAATAGCATTTCTATACACTAACAACGAAATTTCTGAAAAAGAAATGAAGAAATTGATCCCATTTACAATAGCGTCAAAAAAGTAAAATACTTAGGAGTAAATTTGACCAAGGAGGTGAAAAATCTCTGCTCTGAAAACTAAGAGACATTGAGGAAAGAAATCAAAGAAGACACCTATAAATGGAAAGGTATCTCATGTTCATGGATTAATAATTAATGTTGTTAAAATGTCAGTACTACCAAAAGCCATCTATAGATTCAATGCAATCCCTATCCAGATTTCAATGGCATTTTTTAGAAGTAGAAAAAATACTTTTAAAATTTATATGGAACCACAAAAGACCCCCAAATATCCAAAGAAATCCTGGGAAAGAAGGACAAAGCAGAAGGTATCACATTTCCTGATTTCAAGCTATACTGTAAAGCTGTAGTCATCAGCACAGTATGGTGCTGGTGTAAAAACAGACAAATAGACCAATGAATGAGAATCGAGAGCCCAAAAATAAACCCAAGCATATACGGTCAACTAATATTTGACAAGAGAGCCAAGAATAGTCAGTGGAGAAAAGATGGTCTCTTCAATAAATGCTGGGATAATTGGATATTCACATGTAAAAGAATGAAACTGGACCCATATCTTACACCACTCACAAAAATTAACTTGAAATGGATTAAAATGAAACTCCCAGAAGAAAACATAGGAATTAAGCTCCTTGACATGGGTCTTGGTAATGAGTTTTTGGATACGACAAAGCACAAGAAACAAAATAAAAAATAAACAAGTAAGACTATATCAAACTAAAAAGCTTCTGCACAGGCAAAGAAACCATGAGCACAGTAGAAAGACAACCTACAGAATGGGAAAAAATATTTGCAAACCATATATCTGATAAGGGGTGAATATCCAAAATATATAAAGAACTGATATAACTCAATAGCAATAAAACAACCCAATGAAAAAATGGGCAAAGGACCTGAATAGACATTTCTCTAAAGAGGATATATGAAAGGCCAACAGGTAGGAGAAAAGATACTTAGCATCACTAGTCATTAGGGAAATGCAAATTAAGACCACAAAGAGATATCACCTGATGCCTGTTAGAATGGTCATTACCAGAAGACAAGAGATAACACATGCTGGCGTGGATGTGGAGAAAAGGGAATCCTCGTGCACTGTTGGTAGGATTGTAAATTGGTACAATCATGATGGAAAACAGTATGGAGGATACTAAAAAATTTAAAAATAGAGTAACATATTATCTAGCAATTACACTTCTGGGAATATATCCAAAAGAAATGAAAACACTAACTCATAAAAAGATATCTGCACCCCATGTTAATAACAGCATTATTTACAATAGTCAAGACATGGAAACAACCTAAGTGTCCACTGATGGATAAATGGATAAAGAAGTTACAGTATGTATATACAATGGAATATTATTCAGCCAGAAAGAAGAAGGAAATCCTGCCATTTGCCACAATATGGATGGACCTTGAAGGCACTATACTAAGTGAAATAAGTCAGACAGAGAAAGACAGATACTACTGTATGATCTCACTTATATGTGGAATCTAAAAAGAAAAACAAACACTAAACTCATAGATCAGACTTTTGGTTACCAGAGGTGGAGGGTGGGAGAAGGGGCAAATGGAAGAAGGTGGTCAGAAGGTACAAACTTCCAGGCCAACCCCGTGGCCAAGTGGTTAAGTTTGTGTGCTCCGCTTCTGCAGCCCAGGGTCTCACTGGTTCGGGTCCTGGGCGCAGACATGGCACCACTCATCAAGCCATGCTGAGGCAGCATCCCACACAGCAGAGCCAGAAAGAACTACAACTAGAATATACAACTGTGTACTGGGGGGCTTTGGGGAGGAGAAGAAAAAAGAAAAAAATAAGATTGGCAAGAGATCTTAACTCAGGTGCCAATCTGTAAAAAAAAAAAAAGGTATGAACTTCCAATTATAAGATAAGTAAGTAAAAGGGATGTAATGTACAACATGAAGACTATAGTTACCCCTGCTTTATGATATATAGGAGAGTTTTTAACAGAATAAATCCTAAGAGTTCTCATCACAAGGGAAAACTTTTTTCCTTTTTTCTTTTCTTTTTATTGTATCTATGTGAGAAGACGGATGTTAGCTGAACCGATTGTAATCTTTTCACAATATATGTAAATCAAGCTGTCATGCTGTGTGCCTTAAACTTATTCAGTGATGTATGTCAATTGTTTGTCAATAAAACTAGGGGGAGGAAGGATTGAAAAGAAAGTGTCTGTGTTTCTTTGGCAAGAGCATGGTGTACTTGCTACAGTAGCGTTCAAATGAAGGGGAATCCAGCAACAGAAGTGTGATGATATTGTGGCCTTTTAATGTAGGGAGCATGTTCTTGAATGACATCGGGGGAGTCACTTTCACTTGGTTGCATTTATTAATAGCCTTTGCTCTTATTTTTAGGTCATTGGAATTGTTTTTTGCTACCAGCCAGAACAACAGAGGCGAACATTTGGTGGATGGCAAATCCCCACGCCTGTGTCGCAAATTCTCTTCCCCACCACCACTGGCTGTGTCCAGAACGTCCTCCCCCGTGAGGGCCAGAAAGCTGTCCTTGACTTCTCCCTTGAACTCAAGGATAGGCGCATTGGACCTGACCACCTCCTCTGCGTCCAGCAGTCCTACCACCACCCAAAGCCCTGCTGCGTCCCCTCCACCACACACTGGTAAAGTACCATTGGATCTTAGCAGAGGCCTTTCTTCTCCAGAACAAAGCCCAGGATCTGTAGAAGAGCATGTAGATAACCCCCGCGTGGACCTGTGTAACAAGCTAAAGCGGAGTATTCAAAGAGGTATTATCCAGCTGCCAAACCCCGAGTTTGCTGGCCACCTGCTTCCCCGTCATACCCTCTGGAACCCTGTTCCCTTTCCTTTTGACTTTCCTTCATCTGCATAGAAAGTAGAACGAACACAAGGGCTAGTTAGAGGAGAAAATTCCTGTAGTTTCCTCTAGCCTTTGAGGAACGGAGAGCAAGGTTAGCTGTCCTTATGCCTTCTATAGAAAAAGCTGATTGCAGTCAGTTGTCTGTGGAAGAATAGTGTTATCTGAACAGTGTTACTAGAAGGTTCTTTGTGGAATTTGATTAAGGCGGGTTGGCTAAAGAGCCTAGCATGATACTTTGCGTAAAGATAGGCTGTGGGCACCTCATCCGTGAGCGTGAGCCTCGGAGCCTTCTCCTCCTCACTGTCTGCGCTGAGCACCTGTGCTGCTCAGCAGCCTCCGTCCCCGCTCAGGATGACCCAGCCTGGAAGCGTCGAGGTGGCTTCTTCGGTTTGGTTACCAAGGAACACGGCAAATTACAACAGAGACATAGGGAGAAAAATAAAATCTGAGACAGCGTTCATTGTCTATGACACAGCCAAAATGGTTTTTAAAAATGTGGATTAGAGCATATGGTTTCCTGGTTAAATTCTCTAATGAGTTCCCATCCTACTTAGAACAAAGCGTGTTCTCCCTCCCTAGGCTTTCAGATCCTATGAGGCTTCCATCCTGTCTCTCCCTCCAGCCCTTGCTCCTGCCATGCTCCCTCACCTACAAGGATGCAGTCGCACTGATTTCCTTTTTCTGTCTCAGAAACACCTTGGTCCTTTCTGCCCCAGGGCTTTGCACTTGCTCGTCTCTCTGCCTGCACACTCTTTCCCCGTGTAATCTCGTGCGATCAGCAGCCTCGTCTGTCTTGTTCACCTCTGTACCCTCAGTGCCTTGGCCAGTGCCTGGCAGGTGGTAAATTTTTGTTAAATGAATGAATTGAGCAGAACACTCAGTAAGCTAATGGAGGGCCCTGTGGCGCATCACTTTACCTTCCTTAGCTTGGTACCATGTAGGGCCTGGAGGAGGTGATCCTTGTTGCTTTTATAATCCAGTGTTTCTGTGATGAAAATAAAAAAGCATTCCCAGCCAAATTAGCAAGCAGTATAATAACTTATATACTGGTAAATAATAATAATTGGGCAATAAGTCAGACGAAGTGCTCAAATTTAAAGGAAGATCACCCGGATGGAAGCATAGACCCCTGCTTTTCTACCTGCTTGAAGCTTCCCTGTACTTTCTGGCTCCGATCATTTAAATAAGCTTCCTGAGTGAAGTACTTAATGGAATTTTAACTGGAGGGGTTGTCATCATCAAAAGTAGTACCCTTTTAAATCAGGAATTCTTTAAATTGACAAGTTAGCAACTAAGGAGGAGGAAAGGGGGAAGACAATTAAAAGTCATTAGAACAACAAGCTGCAGCAGAATCACGACGCTTCTTCTCGGGAATAATGAGGCAGCGCAGGAGCTGACAAGTGCACCTGGGGCTGGATCCAGCGCTCGGGAACCTCCGCGGAGGGGGTGACTCAGGGAGGCTTGTCTCAGACTTCCCCGCTGGGACAGGGCAGCCTGGGAAGTAAGTGCAGGAGTTTCCCAGAAGGTGGAAGGTTCTTTCCCCTCCTTTATTGGACTGTAGTAAATAGGAGATGGGAAATTTGGAGATAAGTCTGACTTCTCATGCTGTGTTGGGTTAGGAGAGCTTTAGGAAAAAGCATATTAGTGTCAGACGTTTGTGGCTCCCAGGCTTTGGTTTGATTGTTCCCAGGGCTGGGATGAGAACACAGTAAGGTCTGCTCAGGAGTCACTGCATGACCTTCTTCTCTGTGCAGGTTGCTGTGCTACAGGGTCCATAACGGAAAACAAGACAGTGCCCTGGCCCCTTATACTGTAGGTGTGTGGGGTAGGCACCACATAACTATAAGGGCAGGTGGCACGAGGTATAGACAGAGTGCTCTGGAAGGTGAAGAGCAGGGGAGATCATGTCTGGTTGAGCAGAATCGGGAAGTGTCATTGTCATGAGCCAAGAAGAATGGATAAGTGGGTTGGAGATGGATGAACTTATGGGCAGAGAGCTTATGAGCAAGGGCTGATGTCAGCCAGCAGTGGTGAAAGCCATTTCTGAGAGCAGGAGACCTCACTGCTTCCGAAGGGACAGCTTTTCTCCAGTTATGCTGCCACGTGCAGCCCTGTAGAGCAGACCCTGTTACTAATCTGCCTAGAGATTTCTAGCATCGAGTAAAACTCTTTTTTTAATTCTCCTAAAAAATCTTCCTCCTCCTCCTCCTTTTTTGCCATCGTAACTGTTTTAAGTGTAGAGTTCAGTAGTGTTAAGTATATTCAAACCGTTTTCTTCTTGCAAAACTGAAATTCTGTACCCATTGAGCAACTCTTCGTTTCTCCCTCCCTGCCCCCAGCCCTTGGCATCCACCATCTGCTTTCTGTTTCTGTGAGTTGGACTACTTTAGATGCCTCATGTAAGTGGAATCATACAGTCTTTGTCTTTTTGTGACCAGCTCATTTCACTTAGCATGATGCCTCAAGGCTCGTCCATGTTGTGACATGTGCCGGGATTTCCCTCTAAGGCTGAATGATATGCCATTTTATATATATTCTGTATTTTATTTATTCATTCATCCACTGGCATACATTTGGGTTGCTTCCACCTCTAGGCTATTGTGAATAATGCTGCAGTGTACATGGGTGTAAAATACCTCTTCAAGATCCAGCTTTCAGTTCTTATGCAAATACACTCCGAAGCTGGATTACTGGATCATACAGTAGTTCTATTTTTAACTTTTTGAGGACCCTTCATCCTGTTTTCCATGGTAGCTACACCATTTTACATTCCCATGAACAGTGTACAGGGTTCCAATCTCTCTTCAGCCTTGCCAGTACTTAATTATTTTCTGTTCTTTTGATCGTGGCCATCCTAATGGGTGTGACATGAAAATCTTTCTTCTTTTTTGTAATGTCCTAGAGATTGCATTCAGTCTGGCTAGAGCCTAGTAGTATGGATATTGACTTTTTTCTTTAATAGAGAAGCAAAAGAAAAATCTGTTTCTTTCTACATTACAGACGAAATACATATCATAGTTCTAGAGGCGAGGTCCTCAATCAAGCTGCCCATTGATCACCATAATTAATTCTTCCACTTTAGCTTGTTACACATGGATTATTGCACGATGGTCACCAATTTCCCTTGTTCTAGTCTTCAAAGCCCAGAGGGTATAGCAGTGATCTAATGCCATGTCCTAAAATATGCTGGGCCTACTGTCTAGTATAGAGGTGTGGCTACGGGTAAGAATCAGTAATTTTTTCCCTGGAGCAGTAAGCTGGAAGAAGGTTAGACTCAGAGAGATGAAGATAAATGAGAACTGGATCAACCTCCCAGGGAAGGACACTGACAAAAGTTACAAAGACCTGTTATTGCCGATGTTGGATAGAGGTGAGATCATTGTGGACACAGCTAGTGTGGCTAGAGAGCTTGTCTTGTGGCAGCATCGGTCATTTATGACCAGGGCCTGCAGACAGAGAGGGCTCATGAATAACGGTGTTGCAGAAATATTAGGTTGTCTCTCACATTAGAGAAATCGCTAAAGTTGAGGGGTTACTGCCTCTGTTTCTCACTGGATTTCCCCAAAACAAATGATTTGCAGTTAGAATGTCAAGGGTTAGTTTATCCACTTAGTTCACGGATTAGAAATGTCAGTTTGCCGTTCTGGGTCACGGTTAAATGCAGAGCTCCTCTCACTTTGGGGGATGGGGCATTTCCAAGACCGTGTTCACGTGAAGCCCATGGCACTCGATGAAGCCCATCAGAGCTAGCCTCTATCCAGAGATGTCAACTTCTTTGCCCCCTGTGTTTCTTAGTCACATCCACCCACTGACACATCTCCTCAATCTCTCATTTTTACCATGATTGCCCCCACAGTCCTTCCATTTACCGCTTTGTTTTTGGCCTCTTCTTTTTGTTTTTATTTCTCCTTCCTTTCTGCAGCTGTCTTTTGATTACTTTTTAATGTATTTACTTCCCATCTTTAAGTATTTAAGTATTCAGGTGATTATTTAAAGTATTTAAGGTGAGAGTCCCAAGAGGCACATGGTATACCTGGGTTAAAAATAAAATAGATAAGGAAATCAGGCAATGGAGAAAAATTGTGTGAGGCCAAGGGTATGGTTGGTGAGAGAATGAGTACCGTGTGGTCCTCTGCAGTTCCTAGAGTCGTTCTGATTTTGGCTCTGAATGTAATCAATTACGTGATTCATATTGAAGCTAAGAATAGATTGGCATGCAGGCACATATTTTCTTGCTTCTGAGACTTGAGAACACTTCATCCTGTGGATCTTTATAAAGGAAACACTATGAGTAGAAATCTTAGAATTGATATTGGGGGCTGGGGAGCTCTTTGGCATTTTTCTGAATAGGTGAAACAAGGAAATCATACACAGTGTGTTTTTTTTTTTTGCATTGGAATATAGGAAATATTGATCATGAAGAGTCCTAGAAAAGTCATGGATGAAGTACTTTACTTCAGCGTCAGTCTGACAAGTTCAGTGTGTGTGTGTGTGTGTGCATGATGTCTGTAGAAGCCAAGAATGCTGCTGTGTATAACTCTGCTGTCTAGTCTTAAAAATTCCAATTCACAAAGAAAGGGGAGACACTGATCTGGCTTTAATTTGAAAGATGTTTGCATGTGTCTTGCAAAATGTTAACACTTAAAACAGTTAGCAAACTTAAATAAGAATTCCGTGCCAAGAGTTTATACATTTTCTACTCTTCCTTTCAGGATATAACTCCATACAACCTCATTACACAACACCAGTGTCACCCATTAGGTCCGTGCTGAGGCCGTGCGTCTCTCTCACTGCCGTCTAGCTAGACAGTTTCAGGGTACGCTCTTTGAAAAATGCTAGTGACCTTTGTCCAATATATTGTCTTTGCAATTACAATGCCAGATTTACATTATTTCCTGGCAAGAGAACTTCAAATGACATGAAGATAAAGAAGAGAAAAAAGAAATAGAAAGAAGAGAAATAGGAAATATTCCTCAAAATGAGCAAGACTATGAACTTCTGGGGAAAAAAATAATGCAGTTTATTTCTCTCCACCCAGCCCCAAGATCTGTTCCAGGCTCACTCAACATTCACTAGTGCCCCACTTTCTTCCCACCAGGCAGTCCCCACCTTCTTCTTCCCTGGGTTCTTCTAAAAAACACAAATATCAGCCCAGCTCACATCCAGATTCCACCCAGTGGTGAGATCTCAACAAAAATCAAACCAGTGGCAGGCAAGAAAGGAGAGCCATAGGGCAGCTCACTGTTTTTGGGCCCCTCACTCATCAGTGTTCACCTGGGCCACAGCGGTGCAACCCACATCACTAGTGTCTGTTTCTGTGTTCTTAGTTTGAAAATTGCCTGCCTGTGGGTGGCAAGTGCTCCCAATTTTAGCATTTGTTTGGAGCCCACATCTGCCCACTCCTCCTGCAGACAAAGCTGTTTGCATGGAACTGGATTGAAAGTGAACATACCAGAAGGAAATGCTTCTTCCCCCTACCATGCTGACATGTTTTCTCCTTTCTGTAGGTGCCTGTTTGCTTACTGTGTTATTCTTTGCTTTCCTCTTCTTTCAGTGGACATTTGGGGCCTGTCCAGGAAGTTTTTTTAGGTTCGGTGTAATTGCTGACTAAATGATTTTCTCACTTGCCTTAGAGGAGTGAATGGTTGAATCAGACCAAGGACGTGCATTTGATATTCTGCTTGCTCTTGCACAGCAGATGCCTTCCATTACTGAATTTTGAGGGAGTTATTTAGAAAATAATAAAACTAACAGCTAAGCACTGACTTTTTTGGTCTGCATTCTGCATCATTGCCAGCTTTGCTCTAATTATGTCATTCAAGGAACGATTCTAACCATTTCCCTTCCTTGGCCCCTTTGCGTTTCAAAAGACCAGAATTGTGGCCATATTTCTAAAGGAGTAAATCACTTGCAAGTATAAAAATGGCTTTATACGAAGTCGTTAGGGATTTTGTCAAGTTTATTGAGTGAAATCTTGAATGGCCTAGCAAAGGGAGTTGAGTTGAGGATAGTTCTGCTGACAGGGATAATGCAAAACTAACAGAGGTGACACAGCTTTTATCCGTTAATGAAAAGCCCAAGGAGAAACAAACGGAAGAGTTGTTGGAAATTTATGATATTTTTGTGGTGCTTTTCCTTGAAAGAACACATGCAAAGGTGTAGTTTTACCTGGTTAAGAAGCAGTGGGAGGGGTATGGTAATCGCCTAAATGTGACCCTAGAATGATGTTTCTTTTATTAATGGGATGTTAGCTGCAGTGAAGACACTCAGATTATCTTAAAATCTCCCAATGGTTCATTGTAAAAATTTCCGCTGGCCTCTTGCTGATCTGTAGCTTTAGATCAGGGCTATCCAGGAGAACTTTCTGGGAGGATGGAAATGCTGTATATCTGTGCTCTGCAGTTCTGTAGCCGCCAGCCACGTGGGACTACTGAGTACTTGAAATGTGGCTAGTGTGAGCGAGGAACTGAAATATTAATTTAACTTTACTTCGTTTCAGTTTAGATTTACCTGGCTGCATTCAGCTAGTGCTACCCTTCGGACAGCACGGCTCTAGATCCGTAGGAGTCCCCCGAGCTTCTTGGGGGGGCCACAGTGGTAGAGACTCAAACTTTAGTTGGCATAAGGGGGTAACCCACACAAAGAACAATTTTGATTTATAATCTGGAAAAGTCCCTCTCTCCTCACTCCAAGAAGGCCGAAACATTCTGGAGGGCAGAGGACCCACTGCATGTTCCCCGTTCTTGTTAACATCTGCTGTTGTGTTGAACAGAAGGGGATTGGGTAAGATCAGGCAGGCTCAGCAGGGTCAGCAAGACAGGGCAGAGAAGATCCACATTTAGATTTAGTGTCCTTAGCCTTCTGCCAGTAGGAATGACTCAATTTCATGTTAAAATCCTTTAAAAATATGGACTAATATGAAATGCTTATTATCCATAATGAACTTTTGTTTCCGTGCATGATACTGACAAGAAGCTCTTGAATTCATGGCCTGGTTGTTAAAATGCATGATGTTTTAAAGCAGCAGTCCTAGAGTCTGCACCAGGGGACCGAGCAGGAGTGGAAGGCTCCCCAGCAGTGGACGCCGCAGAGCTTTCACCTAGCAGGTCACCCTCGACTCCTCGACACCTCCGCTATCGCCAGCCTGGAGGTGAGAGCTCGGAAAGGGACTCAGAAATCTAAGAGGGAAAGATGATTTCTAGCTCCTGAATCTTTTGTTTGCTTTACTGTTTCACTCTCAAAATATTTTTTAGTCTCAGTTATGAAAATTAGTTGGAAGCAAATATTGTTACTGTAGGACCAAGTAGTAGAAAAATAAATGACTAGAGAATATGTCATTAGTATAAACGATATTTAATTGACTCCATCATTACATTGCACTTTGTGTGGAGTTACATCAATCAGGAGGCCTGTTCTTAGGGTGACTGGTGGTTGAAGAATCTCAGTACTGATTTTACGAAAATGTTCCCAGACTCTGATGCCTTACTGTGAATCCCGGTGTAGTCTGTGTTAAATAGGCTCATCTGGGACACCAAAATTTTGAGGGAACCTTATTAAGAACACTGTTTCACCTAAAATAAAGTCTAGTTGGATGGGACCCCCATCACCATGATTGCTAGTAGCAGAAACCGGTATATATTCTATAGTTATCAGAATCATAATGCATTCTCCCATAGTTTGTTTTAGAACATACCAAGTGTCTTCTAATTGGAGGAAAAACCATCAGAGCAAAATGTGGAAATCTTTTATCTCCCCATTGCTCAAATAGGTATATCCAAATAACAGTGGTTTTTGAGATACTTCCTTTTTTTCTCCTCAAGCCAAGTATTTCAAGTCAGAAGGGAAAATTATTCAATTACGAAACCAGATTCACCCAAGTAACCCAAGTAAAATGTAGACTTTTGTGTGTGTGTGAGGCAGATTAGTGCTGAGCTAACCTCTGTGCCAATCTTCCTCTATTTCATGTGGGATGCCACCACAGCATGGCTTGATGAGCAGTGCTAGGTCCATGCCTGGGATCTGAACTCACAGAACCTGGGCCGCTGAAGCAGAGCATGCAAACTTAACCACTAGGCCACCAGCCCCCAATATGAAGACATTTTTTGACTCTCACTTTCCTGCTTCAAATAGGGCAGTTTAGTAAAAGATTGAGTGCATGGTTCCAAATGGTCATTTCCTTTGTAGACTTAGCCACATGGTGGAAGCTCTTGTCATTGCCATCAACTCCAAAAGAAACTATCCTGGGTCAGGCTCTTGTCAGAAGTGCCTCAATGGATATTAGCCCTCGGGAGTGGACTATTTCAGACTCCTGGTCAATCATGGGCCACTCTGACGTTTGGGTGATTCTCCTAAATGAAGGTGACAAGCTAGACTTTGCTGGCTGGTTATAGGACTACTATGGAATTAGCCTAATCTCTTTACTATACTTAGAGCCTTGGTCAGTCAAGGCCTTGGCCATTTCCTTGACCATTGCCACATGGGACAGACGCCCTTGAGTTCATCATAGTCTGGAAGAGTTTGAGGCCAAAGCCCATGGAAGCAAAACTACCAAAGCAAGAGAGGAATGCTGTTCACTGGGTTACTGTTGTTAAGGCTCTGTTTTATAGTCTCTTTCCATATATTTATATTCCTAGATGAAATTTTTAAATTTATATGAGCATCATTTGGAAATCCTTATCCTGTTTGTGGATTAACTAAGTCCTTTATTTCTTCTTGATATGACTAAATCATAGAGACATAGGAACATAGGAAGGAAGCAGAAATCTGTGATAATATGGAGGGTCCGAATGGGGACAGTGTCACATATTTTCACATGGTGGAGCTGAAGTTTTGCCTGTTTGTCTACTTGCCACCTTTTTCCACAAAGGTTTTAAGACTCCTACTGAAAGGAAAGGGTAGAGCTGTTCTGTGCTTTTGCGCTTTGTCATATTAAGCAGCTCTTTGCTTCTCCACTTATTTATTGATTTTAAACATGACTATGTAACTTTAGGGTCAAACTAATAAAAGCCCTTCAGGTCAGAATCCCAGTGAGCTATTTTCACTAAAGCCTGAGTGAGGAAGCACAGTGAGAGTGCGTCAGCATTGTCAAATATGTGTAAACTGTCTGAGGAGGGAAGGGACTGCAAAAGGTACTTGGTGCATCCTTTTGATTTTCGAATGCATGCCTACTTTTAAAGGTGTTTTGAGAAGAAAATTCTATTAGTAACATGATTTAGAATATATTTTAGGACTTTTTTTTATGTTGAGATATAATTCACATACCATATAGTTCACTCTTTTAAAATATATAGTTTAGTGGTTTTTATACATTCACAGGGTTGGGCAACTATAACCACTATCTCATTCCAGAACATTTCATCACCCCCCAAAATAAACCCTGTACCTCCCCATTCCTATCTCCCCCCAACCCCTGGCAACCACTAATCTATTTTCTGTCTCTATGGATTTGTCTATTCAGGACATTTAATATAAACGAAATCATTATAGTATGTGACTTTTTGTGACTGACTTTCACTTAGCATAGTATTTTCAAGGTTCATTCATGGCGTAGTATGTGTCAGTACTTCCTTCCTTTTTGTGGCTAAATAATATTCCCTTGTATGGATATACCACTTTGGTTTACCCATTTATCTGTTGATGGACATTTGATTGTTTCTACTTTTTGACTACTATAAATAATGTGTTTATTGTGAATAATGGCTATTATGAATAATGCTGCTATAGATATTCATGTGTAAGTTTTTGTGTGGATATATGTTTTCATTTGTCTTGGGTATATACCTAGAGTGGACTTGCTGATGTAGAATCTTATTACTTGCCTATTAACAAGGAAACTGTAGAGTATGTGACCCAATCATTCATCCAGTGCAGGAGTGAAAATGAGAATTTCCATCACAGGATATTATCTATCTGCCTCACCGTGCCATTTCTATTCTTTTTAAATAACCAGGACAGACGACTGACAACTCCCACTGCTCTGTTTCGCCTGCTTCTGCTTTTGCAATCGCCACGGCTGCAGCAGGACACGGGAGTCCACCGGGTGAGTAGGGATGAGCAACAAGTATGGACACATGGCAACTTCTATGAAGTCAGTGGGCCTTGCCTGCCAGGGTCTCGAGGATACACTGGGAGGCTTATTAGGAATGCACATTCCCAGCTCCCATCCTCAGTCAGTGTGAGGGTGAGACACTTTTAAATAAGCCCCTTCAGGTGAGTCTCACACAGCTCATCTGTGGGTGACACTTTTGAGAACTTCTGGATCAGAGAAGGATGTGTTATTTCTCCTGTGTTGTTTTAATGGAGTTCTATCACCTTTTTAGCCAAATTACTGAGAACACGTGTTTCCCTTTTAATTGAGTACAATGCTAAAAGCAAATTCGAGGTGGGAGGGAAGGTTGTGGAGTGGGGAGGGAGGAGGGAACAATTGGTTTAGCTAACTCATAACTCATTTCCAGTAGCTCCACGATGCTTTCTGAGTTGCTGTCAGTTAATTTTCAGGGTAAAGAAGAAGTACTTAAAATAAAAGCACAGTATTTTAATAGATGAAAATCATGTTCGTTATCTCTGTCCTCTTCTCTCATGTGCACGGAGGACGTTATGTTAAGATAAAGCAATACCTGGTTTAAACAGCCTTGTTGCTGTGCTTCACCTAAGCTAACCCTGTGGGTGCCGATCATCATCCTTTGCAGAACCACGAGTGATGGTGTATTTTGTTCATTAGCCATTGTTTGCATACCACAAAGGAGTCCATTTCCAAAGCCTGAGAACCTATATTCAACAAAGGTAACTAGTAGGTAGTATCTGTGTGAATTCTTTCTACATTGAAGTCAGAACAGAGAGAAGTTCTGTAATGAATATGAACTACCATGGTAATTATATGTATCCCGTCTGAATGGAAATCTTTGCTGATTGGCCACATTCTGCTTCAGTGTTTTGCCACACACACTGCATTAGATGTGGTCAGGCAAATTGGGGTGTTTTCTGCCCCAAATATTCCCAAACCTTCTCCCAAAAGACCCATCAGCATAAGACAAAACAGCCTATAATGGTGACAATATTGATGTCTTGTCCATCCGGTTGCCTTCTGTTGTGGACTACATTCCATAATAGTGAACTTTTCTTTGCTGAAACGATAAAGGAGTCTTTACCACACTCCCAGCAGAGCTGGTTGCCAACTGTGACTTCATGAAGACCCTCTCCCGTCTGTCCTTATCACAAGCTGTTCTGTCTTTGGAAAAAGTGAAATACAGAGCTTCCTTGCAGGTTTCATAATTTAAATATGGTTTGTGAGGGAAAGTAGTTTTTGGGTTAATTCAGGATGAGCCCAGTTCCCCATTGGCTGGAGGCCGGCTAGGGGAGTGTCCTTTTTCTCCTGTGAGAGCGCTGCAAAGTTCTAATGAGCTTCAGGGAATGGCTTTCTCACTTTGGCTTGTCCATGCGTGACGGACCAGAGGATAAAATAACCAAAACAGCCAAATCTTCCTCACTGAACACTGCTGCCTTTCTTCCTGCTTCCTACCTGCAGCTGAAATAGCCTGAGGAAGAAAGCTCTCTTTAGGGAGCCGGCTAAGGAGGGCGGCCTGCTGGCTGACCACCGCCAGTGTTGCTAGGTGCAGGGCGGCCTGAGCCTACTTTTTTATGACAGTGCTGTTGATGTTGCCTATAATGTGATCTGGAGCCATACGTTTCAATTTTAGAAATAAAGAATTGGATTTGGCAGTGTCTGTGGCCCTGCTGTAAAGGCAGCAAGTCTCACATGGGTCAATTTCAGTGGCTAATGGTGCTAAGAAAAGGGGTCTCTTTTGAAGCTGGGACCAGTACATTCCTGGGGCTCAGCTGCTCAGGGCAGCTGGCCCTGAGGGATTACACCTGCTTGGGAGAACTTGGCAGAAGAGCTCCGGTTCATAGGTGGCTGAGGAAGGTGGATTCGGAACAGAAACGGAAGTGCTAAGATCATGTGGACTCATTGGCTAGCCAGGGAGAGCACGTTGCTGCCCCAGGAAGGGCTAGACCCAGATGGACAGGACTTCACAGGAAGGGAGTGCTAGGTAATGGTTGATTCTCAAACCGAACTTTATATCCCCTCTTTGAATCAGGAGTCACTGACCTGAACGCACCCTAGGATCTGAAGAGAGCAGGAGGGAAGGTTGTATAAACAGGTGCACACAGCTCATGCTTGCAGCAGTCTTTGCAGGCCTCCTCTCTGCTTGTACGGCTGCAGTATGGGCCCCCCTGGCAGTGCGACTCTGCTGTGTCCTGGCCCATAGCAGGAAACAAGGGACCGCTGGGCCATGCCATGCTGTCTGCAGAGTGGCTGTCCATGGTTAAGGCTCCTCCTGGGGCTCCCTCTTGCTTTAATCCTCTCCCGCCTCCCCATCCCCACCTCTGTCCCCATCAAAATACACAGGAGTCTGGCAACTCTGGGTTAGAACTGTCAGTTAATGATGCGCTTTCAAATGTTCACTCCAGCTATTTGCATGTTAAGCCATTTCTCTTTAATTATTGCTTGGAAGGCTTTCTTACTTCATTAGAAGCAATTTCAAATTTAGCAAGAGAGTGGACAGGAAATTTTGTTTGTAAAGAGGCCAGGCAAGATGCCCATGCCTGGCCCCGAAGGCAGAGCAAGCTGACTTTATTTGTCAAAAGTGGCCTGGGATCTGCTCAGGGTCACCAGCCCTTCCCCTGGGGTCTGAGCCTACATAATGTCTACACACACTGGAAAAGCCTGGGTTTTCCTCCCTGATTTCTCTTAGGACCCAAAGCCTGCCCTTTCCAAAGATGGATCAGTCTCTTCCTGCCACATCATGCCCCCTTTGCTTGTAGATCAGCAGTAGTGTCTCTGTTGCACAGAAAGAAAAGCCTGATTCTGTGGGTATGATTGCAACACTAAAGTCATTCTTGTTAACTTCACATTATGATGATTTAACAGTTTCTATTGTGTTTGCCTTCTCATTGGCAGCCAAGTTACATTAGGCCCACTTATGGATGGATCCAGAATTTGTGGGGCCTAACCCTTACACAGTTTGCGTCAGGAAGAGAATATGAAATTATAAATACACACCTTTAGGCGGCTCCCGGGGCTTTAGAAGAGGCCTGTGCACACTGAGAGGCCCTGAAGCCTAAGCTTCATTGGCTTCCTGGTAAATCTGCTTATGGGTCTAATCCAGGTCATTCTTGGAATCGCAGCAGCTTTAGGAAATTTTGTTCACTGGGGAGTGGGGGTGGGGATGGGACCACTGATCATCAATTAGTCAGACAAGTCCCCTTCTCTGTGGTGGGACTTAAAACTCTCTACAAGACTGAGACAGAGGACATTGATGGGGTCTGGTGTGCCACCACACTGGTGGTAATGTATTTTCGAACATCTGCTCAAATTTAGTTCATCATTAAAGTAGAAATTAAAATGTGTGCATTTCAGATGGCTGCTGATACAGGAAATCTGCAGGTGCAGGTCTGATACAGTTATGATATGAATAGAAATGCAAATCCAGTGAATACTCATATCAGGGCACATCATGGTACTTACTATATACACCTGAAGCTCTGGGATTAATTATAGAGTTTATGAAATGATCTAAAATGAAATATGAAAGTGTGAGGTGGGTTATTTTTATGGGAGTAGAAATAATGGCAGTGGGGGTACTACAAGCAACTCTTGATTATCTGTGAGCAGATTATATGTTTTCCTATTCTATGCAAGTCAAAGTAAATTAACAAAGTAGAGGAATGGTTGAATGCACTTATAGGAAGATTAATGGCACTGTTACAATCGTTTACAGAAACAGTGGGTTCTTTATTGGTGATTACTTGGTACTTCTAAAGTAGATAATTCATAATCTGTTTTCTCTTCTGTCATATGACTCAGGCCTGTGTAGTCAATAGTAGATCTGAGCTTGCTGTGAATTGGGCTTGGACCCCTTTTTAAAAATACTGATACCTGGTTCCACCCCCAGAGCTTCTGACTTGATTGATCTGAGTTCATCCTGGGCGTAAGGATTTTTTCACGTTCCCCAGGTGACGCTAATGTGGAGCCACGTTGAGAAACCACTGGACTAGATGGAGGAGGTCTCTGTTCCTTCTTTGGTTGCAGCATTCCCAATTTATTTCCTTGGAGCTCTGACTCCTGTAGACTATGTCATTTTCTCCTTAAGTAAGACAGAGAGGCTAGAGGGGGCTGGAGTGAGGGGGATGCCTTTCCCTGAGCTGGGTAAGGCTCGGGCAGCCTTTTTCCCTGGAGAGTAGACCTTTGCTGTGGAGAAGGCTCTGGGCATCTTTCACAATGGTACTCTTCCCGGGCTGAAAAGGGAGGTCTCACTTGGTGGAATTTTTTAGTGATTCTATTGATTCCATCGGTCAGTTTGGGGAGGATTGCCCATCTAAACGATATTCAGTCCTTCCGTCTCTGAACACGGACTGCCTCTTCGTTTGTTTAGACCAGTTCTCGCTTCTCCCAGCAATGTTTCATGTTTTCCAGCATATGAAGTCTTGCATTTGTTTTGCTGCATTTATTGCTAAATGGCTGACTCTTTTTTTGTTGGGTTTTTTTTTTTTTTTCCAATTGGAAGTATCCTTATTTGGGACATATTTCCTATTTTCTCTTTCAAAATGTTTAAAGACATTTTTTCATTATTCCATCAAAGATAGCTAGTTGAAGTTTTGGGGCCAGACTGTATCTAATTTATGTCTTTAAGTAAAAACATTATTATCACTATTATTAATTAAAAATAAAGAGCTTTGGCAAACCAAATTTCAATTAATGATTCCAAGTCTTATTTTTAAACACACACACTGCCAGGAATTCAAACTTTGGAGCTAAGAAGTTACATCTTTCACTGGTGTGAGCCTGCAAAGTGGCTCATGGCAGGTGGTTCTTGCATTCTCTTCCTGGGAGGATGCCTCCCAGCAAGGTAGAGCCCTTGGAAACTTCTCTCTTCATCATTGTCTTTCCTGTGCCTTCCAAGCAGACCCAGATCCTGTTTCTGCTGGCCTGGGCCCTCTCTTTCCTGACCATGTTGCACTGCCAAGTTCTCTTCTTTGTGC